ATGGAGATATCCAGCTTGATTTATTGGGATTGTATGTTGTATGAGCTTGTCCTTAAGATGCTAGCTAGATAAAGGTAGTTGGGAACAATGATGAGACCGATATGCCACCAGCTAGTATTGAACATGAGGCTTTGCTGGAAAGTGGTTGGACCATTGGAACGTTCTTGCAGGTTACAACTTTAAAAAGAAATACATATACATACAACATCATTGTATCAATAGCGGTAGATTTTCCATTACATGGAAATGATCTAAATATGAGTGTAAGATACGGGAATGCAAACAGAATCGGATACGAGTTGAGGTAGAGGAACTGCGATTGATCATTGGGACTGATGCGTGATTCTGAGGCGTGCACTCTGTCTATGAACCATAGTAGGTGAGTTGAGGCAGTGAGGTTCAATCGAGCACGATCTAATGCTGAACGCGCGTTTTAACAGCGCTCAGTTAATAGCAAAGATTGCGTTTGATAAACAGAATACTATCTCATCTAACTGCCGGTACACACAGAAGTTAAACTGTCGCGCTTCCAAAAACTCGCGTTTAACATTACATTGATGTAAACAGAATAAATCGACGTCCTCAAAAATCATCAGAGACTTATAAAACATTCAAAAACGAACATTGGAAAAGATCTAACGTGCTGTCATCTGAAATTTGAATAATCCTACGTCCCAACTTTCATTTCCCTTACGGTTTCAATATCTGCGATAGTTTCTAAGCATAGGTCTTATACCATTTCTATTCATCAGTTTCAGAAGATATTACAGTTTTTGATTCTTTGATACTACCTTTCGTCCATTTCTGTTTTGTAGATGAAGATTAAGGTGTTTGCTTTTGAATTTCAGGGTCATTATACAATCACTCGTTGATCGAACAAATATTCATTTACAAGGAACTGTATTTTAGGCGTATTTTATGTGTTTATAGTTGAAATTACTACAAAGCAACGTGCTTGTGATAGGTTACAGAGTCTCACTTTAGTCGCTGCGAAGCGCGTATCAGTGAATTATGTTGAAGGTTATCTTCTCATAAATGAAAATGCATAACATACAGAGTGGCCCAGAATATAAAGTCACTATTTCGGCGTGGGTATTAAGTATCTTGAAAAGTGACACTATATCGAGTTCTTTTTGACATTATATTGTTTTTTTTTACATAACGTAGGTTTTTCTAATAGATGTTAACTTAGCACTAGCTAATGGACACGTTGTGAACTCGTTTTTGTAGTTGTCCGTGTTGCCTAAACGTAATGTCAGTTGTCAATGTTTGGCTATGATGTAATGTAACCTCTGCTTCAGAGATGGCATTATATTGGAGGTCTAAGCTGTAAGTTGTATACTATAGACTATAACTAGAAGAAAACGGCAGTACACAGGAGCATAGTTAGGAAGTGTGTGCTAATAAGCTGTGTTGATTCCATTGGAATATTTAGGGAAGTGAAAAGATTAACACATTAATTTTTATTTCCGGTCATTTAAATTTTATAGAAATTCATTTTGCGATGTCAATAGAAAATACAAATCAGCGACTAGATGTGAGACACTGCGAAAATGGTTGAAGTGTGATGCGTCATTCCTAATTTTTCTAATTTCCCGTAATGCTCCTCAAAGTTTTTGAAAACACCAAAAAACGGGAAAAATCGTAACTTTGAAAATAACCTGTCTTCAACATGAAAATAACCCGTCGGGCACAGTTAATAGATATACTTCATTTGCAACATATTCAGTAGTAATTTTCTCACATAGAAAATATCACTGAGTTTATACATGTGCAGACAAATACACATGATAATCCAGATGCGATCTTGCTACTCAACCAACTTTCTTTCTTACACATCTTCTCAGATAAACACCACTGACTACTCGGCTTTACAAAACATATACCTGCTTTCTGCAAATAGCAATGCGTGTAGTTGAGTCATTCCTCCATAGATGGATGCTCACAGCGATCATAGCGAGCAAACGTGGAATGAACTATTTGACCCTAAGAACTACCTAGTCTGCAAGATGACATTTTGATGTTGTTTTTCTTTTGAGGTTTGAGGTTTTTTGCGTAATAGCCGGATGTATGTATATAAAACAAAAAATAATGCGAGAGGTTCCTCTACGGAGAATCAGGCCCTTAAAGAACGCTACTGGAGATTGTTTTCTTTTGTCATAAAACTAGTTCAACGGTATTTCATCAGCTCAGTATCCAGTTGGATATTCAAAGCTGGTGTCCATGGAAAACAACTAATTTCATGATCACCATAGACGGGCCTGATTAAACGTAATGTTGTTAACTTTTTACACCATGTATAATGATGGATCGACGATTACTGGGAAACCTAATTTCCAAGCTCAAAAGATGCACATGTTGAGAAAAACACTCTTGTTTGAGATCACTTAATAGAGCTTTATATTTTCGTAGACCCAATTGGCTTCAGTACAAGTCGAGTAGAAAATACCAGCAATATTGCCTTACGGCTAGGCCATCCATGTCGATCTATATTATGAGTTGATTGTTTTCTATGCGCAGAACCAAGTGAGGTCTCAACTGATTGCTACAGTGTTTCCAACAGCATTTGGTAAAAAGATTACAGTAATTCATACGTACCTGGAATCTGGCTAGTATTGTTACCAAGTGTAATATTGTAAAAATAAAATATTTCACTTCATGATAAAAACAGCAACGGTAAAAAACAATAATGTCTGCAGAAATACGCTAAGGTATTTTCAGTTTCACTGAAGCACCACAATTGTCTTCGAAGAATCCAGAATATATAAAAAGAAAACACATACCACTCCCGATAGTGTTTTTTGTCCGCTACACTTTGCACCACGTAACTAACTCGATGCAAGCAGTATTTTACTGTTTAAATGAAACGGTATGCAAAAAAACGTACCCATATACGTGATTTGAAATGAAGTTCATTTATTTTCGTTTATCGTTTCGCATCTTGAGGTAGAATGACCATCAAAAAATAAGCACAGAAGGGTATCTGCAACTGACATGAAACCGAGAAAAAGCTTGAACCTCTGAAGTCCAGATACGCAAAAATGTAGGATATTCAAAAAATGATAAAATATCCAATGTCCTAAAATTGCATATACCCGCATTGCAACTGTAGGGCACTTTACGCAAACGTTATGATACATAAATTACTGTCAAATTTGTTTAGACAGATGATATATTTTGCATACAGTGGTTTTCAAAAACCCACCCCCGCTACTTATTTTTTGAACGGGTAAGTTAGCAAATTGGAATTTAGTATGATAAGATGTATGTATGAATACTATATTTCTGCGTGAAAGCGGCATGTTAAAAATCAAAGATGGGGCTGACCGCTCTTGAAACATTTTTAACAGGCTGTCAAAGTTGAGCTTCTAACTCAACAATACTGGGTGTTATAATTATAAGCTATAGTATCACAACCGCCATTACAATGAAAAATGTTCCAAGATAGAAGCCAGCATCCACATTGGAATTATGAACTGTCACTTTCATTTTAAAATATATTATTATTCATACATCGATTTCATTTCCCCGGATTTCAACCGGCTAACTTGATCGATTCAAAGAATCAATAAGGGGAGACCTTTTTGAAAAAAACTGTATATTTCATTGAGGACAAATTAATGATCATCAATTTCTTAAAAGCTGCGCATATACGCAGTCTCAAAAAACTTTTCGTGTTCTTGGAAACTACAAAATTACCAATATTTTTAATATTTAAATGCTCTTTTTTGTCATCGAAAAAGTTATCTCGAAATATGCTCCCAAATAGATAATTAGCACAAAAATATAAAATAGTACATTACATACCTACTTTGAAAAGTCAGCCATCATTCGGCGAGCACTTTTGTAATCTGAGGCGCATAGCGCCAAAGGATACAATATGCGAGCGAGATCAATAATAGCCTTCTCAAACAAGGGTGCATAGAACTGTTATCACTACTAACACTATGTATCACAAAAATATTCGATTTTACATCACAATCAAGACGTTTTCAACTTCCGTTGTCAAACTGAAATTATTGTGTATAACAGACAACCAAAAATTCAAACAACCAAAGCGGAAAACTTCAAGTTTAAAATATTTGTTTTCTCGTCTAACAGGAGAAATCTTCCTTATTGACCTCAATGTCTCAATGAGAAATTGCTCTTGTCTCCCTAGGTAAATAATTGTAACAAAAAAGCCTTAGATGAAAATTGTATTCTGTCGACTTCATTTTGACACCTTAACCTTATATTCCGGAATATTTCAAAACAAGTGAGAAGCAACTAATATCAGACTCGTCATGTAGCTACCCTGTTTCGATAATCGGGAAAGTATGGAAAACGGCTTTTAATTCTAGCAGAAGAAAACACAGCCAACAAACCTTACTTTCCTCTGAACCTGAAATGGACCAACCCATCGATTCAAAGGGTAGTAATCTTCAGGCACTGGCGTTGTACTGAAAAGATGTGCAGCTGAGCTTACTATAGTTCTTTCGCATCTCTTCCAGATATCTTACGAATCCGGCACTTTCCCAGAAAACTGGAAATTTGTTCATGTCAAACCCATCCCAAGGAAAGGGTCTAAGACCGACCCTTATGAGGCCCAGATAAGACCTAACCTCGAATACTGCTCACATGATTGAGGTGCTGCCGCCTCGACTACATTTTTTCCATGGTCGATGCTGTTCAAAGGAGGCCTGACCGAGTGATTGTTGACACTTCTTTAACGTACAGTCTCGGAAGCCTTTCGCACCGACGGGCCGTCGGCGACCTAGAATCTCTTCTACCGCTATGTCAACGGGTTTTGCTCCTCTATCTCCTCCACAGCGTGTCGAATTTCGTATATCCAGAACTGGCCGGTACAACCTGTCCTTTTTCCCAGTTCTACCAACCTTAATCAGTTCAAAAATCGGATTAACAAAGTGACTCTAAGCTCCGCAGAGCCGCCGCAGTACCCTCGTTTTTAGGCTTCTGCCTACGCGACTGCTTCTGTATAAAAACAATGGCTTACTTCTCGACCGAGGTATGTAATGTGTTACTTCTTATAATATTGTGAACCTCCTTGCTATGATTCTAATTATAAATTTTACCAACCTGTGAGAGATGTTGACCTTCTCTACTGACCATCGCCCGATTCCACCCAGTTGGCGTTGGAACGGATCCGTAATTGGAACCAGGGGTGCATGGCGGGATTGAAGATATCTGGCTCATGTTGTCCATGCCAGTTCTGTCAGACGTCATGGCCGGAGTCATAGCTGAAGGAGTACTGGTGGCTAATTGATGGTTTGGTCTGAATAGAAATTCTGGTACTCTACCGTTCTTTATTGATTCCTTCGCCTAAAATAGTTTTAGTGTTGGTCAAACGTGACTGGTCAAATCGCAGGCAGGCTGAGTCCAATACAGTCTTGCCTTTCAAACTTAACTTTTATGGTAGAACCTGTACTTAGGGCGATCGACATATAGGTTGTGCATTCAATGATTACTTAGTGCGAGGTCTGAAAAGCGAGAAAGGCGGCAACGCGCGATATCGAGCACGCTGCTGCAGCTAGGTCGGGGCCGGCGGTAGAGTGGGGGCGCTTCACCTGAGAAGGAGACAGCGTTGCCGATCTTTAGCCTAATGCATAATCTTTCGTAACACAACCGGTATAGTTTATTCACTGCGTCACAGCAGTTACGTCACAACGTCAAATAATGACAATGACGCACATGGTTGATTTACAAAATCTACTTTATGTCTTCGATGCCTTACCGCAACCAACATTACGGAGCGTATGTTTCGTAAACGCTAGAGCTAGTATAAATTCTATTTGCTACCTAATACCTCTTTTACTAAGGGCAATGATGGAACTCCATGTCTCGTACGGTCTCAAAATATTTCGTCATAGAAATGACGAATTATTTTGCTTGTCGGCCCAGAGGTTTCGGCATTTTATCAAAATGCTTAAAAGGACACCTCAAAGTTTTGGAAAAAAACTGTTTTTATAAAATAACAATGCAAATATTGAGGCAAAAAGAACGAAAATATACCACAAATAAACAACAGCCGTTGGCGTAAATAACTGACAAGCTTAGCGACAATGTCACAACACAGAAAACTGTTACCAACATACATGTACCCGGGAAATTCAAACTATCCGTACGTATCTACCAATTTAGGATCTATTTTGCATTAAGATTGCTTTGTTTCAGTGAATAACCTATACTAAACTTAATTAGAATGCGAGCAACGGACAGGGAACTGGTCGCGTGGTTGTCTTTTTGGCGAGAACGCTTGTATTTGAACATACGTGCGGATTGGCATCGGCTTGTGGTCACCAGTTACTCCTATGAGAATGTTTTTTTAAGCATTGTTCTCACCAAAAGTAAATCGACAGCAACTCGACTTCAACCTTATTTCGACATCAGTTGCGTTGCCTTTCCGTTCCCACCGAAATCCACTTCTGAACAACAGCAACTCATTTCAATCAGCACATGTGGTATTTTCTTATTTACCAAATAATAATAATACATAACAAATAATATAATGTGCAATCAGCGATCTGGGGAGAGCAACACCTTGTACGCAAACATAATTATTCTGTTTTGAGTACATTATAATAATAAAATAATAGTAATATGTGTTTATTTGTGACAGCCACATCGGTATACATTCGAAAAATAAAATCAATAACAAATACGAAGTCTATAAATTAGGTGTTGAGACTGGCAACGTAGCGAGGTGCCGATATTAAAAATATCTGTTTATTATGCTTATCTATCAATATAAATTGTTTGCCAAACATTTTTAGAAGGCGGCTGTTAATTTATGGGTCCACTTGTACAAAAAGTCCGGTGTCCGAATATTTAGTTGTTTGGGCTCGTAGAATAGCTGAATGAAGGTGGGTGTGGTTCTCTTACCATTTGGGGAACTGTATTCCTGAACACAGGTAGAAAAGTGACTCGCATAGTCATTCTCGGAAGAAAAAGTGAGTAAAACGTACAATAATATAAAGTGCCGTGGAACATATTACATATTTTGACGAAAATCTGTGCAATCACAGACTTGTTTTACAAATGTTAACTACTTTCAGAATTTGGAATCATTGATCAAGAAAAAGAGCACGCCCACTTTCTCTTAGCCATTCTACTCCATCCTTTTCCAGAATAGGGTCATGGTAGGTTTTCAATACAGCTGTTCCCGTTAATCACTTCAAACAACACAAAGCCACAATGAAGCAGTACCTACATTTTACTAATATTTTGAATGCAATCAGAACGTCAACTGAAGTGTCACAATGCTACATCTTTCATCAGGTGGTGGGAAACTCCAAACTGATTAGCAACGGTAATGCCAGCAATCATTAACCAACAGGTTGGGTTGTCGTCACCTTGGCGAGATCGCTTGTATTTGAATACATGTGCCGAGTTGGCAGGGGTATTACGTATCTTGAAAAATGACATTATGCCAATTTTTTTGACATTATATAGATTTTTTGTGGCATTATGTTGGTTTTCCTATATGATGTCAACTTGGAACTAGGTGTTGTTCGCTTGATTTGCACTCGTTGTGTAGCTGTACGTGTCACCTTAACATCATGACGCTTGAGCCATCATGATTTGGATCTAATGTGATGTAACATCAGCTTCAGAGATGACATTATTGGAGGTTCAAGCTGTAAGTTATATACTACAGCTTTAAGGAAACGGCAGTGCCTAGGTGCTTAGTGAGAATTTGTGTGCTATAGTTGTCGTCACTGTTCCTGGCGGGTCAAAGTAAGACAACCAATGTTGCTTTATATAGTCAACGCCAAACAAAGTGGCGTGCACGTCATCACGATAAAAATTCCCCGACCTAATGCCTAGGTTTCTTCACAAACAATTGCTCTATTGCAGTTTCATATTAATGTGATATATAAATTGTAAAATGGTCATTACTCTCTTATTATGGCTAATAGTCATATAAACATTGTTATTAAAATATCACATAAGTTGCTTTCTGATAAATTTAGACGCATTATGCGAAATAAAATGTTTTGCAAACGCTCCAATCACTTATCGACATGTAAACGCACTAAACCGATTTCGCAGCGTTGACACATTGTCACCTTGAAACTTATTTAAACTGGGAACTGACATTTGTATTAATTTTGACACTGAATCAATTTGTGGCATTTCAAATCTTTATAAATCCTTTGGCCCCGCATACTGTAAATCAACAACTGTTTGTTTCAAAACAAAATTATTCATTTTACGAGTAGATAAAGGCAATTTTGGTATATAAAGATGCCCAAACAGTTAAATAGTCGGTGTAAGGAACTCGTGGCCTCGTTAATGCACTACTTTGAGCAAGAAAGGGACAACAACGGGCCTTTGTTGCCTTTAAATGCTGTTCAAGAGGTAGGTTACTAATAATTATATGTAATGTATATTAATAATAGTGAAATTTTATTTCATTTTTTGTAGCGTGTTGCTGCTGCTTTAAAAATTAGTTTAAGGACAGTTAGTCGTATTTCCGAGGGTGTGAAAAGTGATGCAAATTTAGAATCGCCCAAGAAAAAGCGGAGTTATATTAAACGTGTAACCAACACAGCGACATTGGATACAAGTGCCATTCGAGAAGTGATCTATAATATGTATCACAAAAGTAAGATCTTATTATAATAACTTATCAGAAATTTGCATTAATTTGTTAACTAAATTATAATGTCATATTACACATGGTTTCAGAAGAACAAGTTACGATACAAACTTTATGGTCTCGATTAAGAGATAGGGCATTATTTGATGGTAGTGCCACGTCTTTAAGGCGGTTGCTTAGAGATCTTGGATTTAAGTGGCTTAAGGACAATCCGCGACGAGGGCTCATGGAACTATCAAGTATAGCTTTGAAAAGGGTGGAATTTCTAAGGCAATACAATCAAGCCAAGGTTGAGGCCTTATACCAGTTTGTCTTCCTCGATGAAACTTGGATATTTCAAAATGGGACCATAGGTCGCTCTTGGCAAAATGGAAACCAAAAAAGCGTGAAAGCTATTAAAACAGATGGTAAAAGGTATGTACTTTTACACAATTTGCACTATAAAATTTAAAACTAATATATTTTAGATACATTATATTACATGCTGGAAATGAAAATGGGTTTATTGAGGGTAGTGAAGCGATATTTTCTTCGAAAACAAAATTGAGCGATTACCATGGAGAGATGAACCAGGACAATTTTTTGAAATGGTTTCAACATCAGTTATTAGAAAAATTGGAGAGTCCATCTATGATTATACTGGATAACGCCCCTTATCACAGCATGATATTGAACAAAGTGCCCAACAATGCATGGACAAAAAAAAATATCCAAGACTGATTGACAAATCAAAACATACCATTTTTAAACACAATGTTTAAAACAGAGCTATTGAGTATTGTTGCTCGGTACATAATGCTTCTTAATTATATATATTTTGGTCGACAGTTTATATTTCTTTTGTTTATTCCTATTCTTAAAATAACTGCTTTTTTAGAAACAAACCACCTAAAATATACGTGATTGATGAATTGGCGGAACAACATGGGCACAAAGTTCTTCGTCTGCCTCCTTACCATTGTATATTTAACCCTATTGAGTTAATTTGGGGCATAGCAAAAGGTTACTATAACAGACATATTGGTAGAGATGGTAACAGTGAAAAAGACTGTTTGGATATGTGGAACGAGGCTCTACAAACGGTTACCCCAGACATGTGGAAAAATAGTGTTCGACATACTGAGCAAGAAATTTTTAAATGGTATGAAAGAGAACGAATTTTTGATCGACCAGACATCGAACCTTTAATAATCAACTTTGAGAGTGATGAAGATTCAGATTCAGACAGCGCTGAAGAAAGAAACTCCGACTAACTTTATTGTACAGAAAAAGCTTACACCAGTAGCTTACCTAATTTTAGAATGCATTTTTCTGTATGAATTCTGTAAAATAAATACCATGCATAAAATTTGGAGGACCCCATTTGGATTTTTATTCAGTACCTTTAAGCTATCAATTAAATATGGTAGTTTCATAGTGTCATCTGATCAATAATTGTCATACTTAATGATTATGCAAGTACAGATCTATAATTTTATTATACTATTATTTTTGTTCTCATTTGAGGTTAATATTGCTTATAAACCTAGATATGTAAATAATAAATTTTATTATTTTACAAAAAGTTTGGCAACAATGTAAATTTTTCAACACACCCACCTTGACGTGCACGCCACTTTGTTTGGCGTTGACTATATATCTCCATCTCCCTCATACATACACATGCAACCTACCCCTGAGTGTGAACATTTGTTCGGTAAGCTCAAAGACATACGTTTTTTAGTTGTGTGTCTCCGTCTCGAAAACTTTGTCGTGACAACTTACTTGACATCGGCGTGCAATTGGAGTTGACCTGTTATCAATCTTCAATATAAAATTGTACAATGCCCGGAAATACGATCAATGGAGGAGGCCGACAGCTCGTGCTAAATTGATTAAAGTACTTCCACGAAGCAAATGAGAACAGCAGTCCCGTTACCCATTTCATGCGTACTGGAGAGAGTAGCAGATGAGCTGAAGATTAGTCTGCGCAGTGTCCGGCCCATGGTACGGAGACTCGATCTGTTTACTTATTTCATATGGCGTGCATGACGTAACCGCCAAGAACGATGACAACTATAATAATTTGAGTTGTTGATAATTCCCTTGCTGTCTTGTCTCAAATACACTCACCTGAGGTGCAAAGCTAGAAATTAGTTGCGCATCCACTTTTTCTTATTCATTCCGGAAATTACATATGCAAATTTGTTGAATTAAAAAATGCGAGAGATGAAAAAAGAAAATCCCTGGATGGTGAAATATGTTAAAACACTTGATAAAATAGACCAGAGACACAAAAATTTTTGTATATTGTCATATAATTCTTTATTTTAAGCCATTTGAATTTCATAAATTTATTTTGCTGTTAAGTAGAAATGATAGATGCGAGGCACTGCGAAGATCTTTTCCTATTTTTTCTGTGATATGACTTTGATGACTTTGAAGGTAAGTGAATATATGTATTTTTAAAATATCAGTTATAACATTACTTCAGAAAGGACAACACATAAATAACCCGTCTGGCACAGATAAAAGTTATACGAGCACTTCATGGGTTGGATATTCACTAATAATTTTTTAATTTAGCAAGTATCATTGATTTATACGAGGGTGTTCTGAAAAGGTTCCGATCTAACAAGGGTACAAAACATTTTTTCTGAATTTACCACCTCTAAATTCAGCTGCCCAAAATTTCACTGTGGTAAATGATGGTGCGGAGTCCCCATACACAGAATCCAACTCAACTTTGATTTGCGTAGACGTATTTCCTTTTAAAAACAAATATTTAATGACAGCTCGACACTCCATTTTGTCCATTTTCACAAAAACACTCACATCAACTCATTTAAACGACTGTTGCATAACAACTGCGCGTTCAAAATGGCTGAAACTTTAGTAACTGTCAAAAGATGAACAACGAAATTCACAAGTTTTTATTTGCGAGTGCTGCCATTTTCACGTGCAGGTTGGAAACTATCCAGACCACCCGCGTGTGTATGCAGACCAATACACACAATCACCCAGATGCGATCTTAATCTTACTACTTTGCTTCTCAACCAATTTTCTTTCTTTCACATCTTTTCAGAGATACATACTATCCCAACATTCTGCAACAACAAAGCATGCTGACATAAATCAAATTCAAGCGGATAACCAAATAAAAATGGTATTTACCATTTTGGGTTGGTATTTACCGATCCGTTCAAACGAGTGTGGTTATCAGTTTGGTTATAAGATCCGTGACGTCATAAATCAGGTGTTATATGTCACAGTTATCACCGCAAAATTGTGGTATTTACACAACTCAGGAGTAGTTTTATATTTCTGGTTATTATTTGAAATGTGACAAGTTAGAATTTTGCCGGGTATTGGATATTGTTATTGTACTACAGCTTCATTTTTGGGAAACTTGATACAGGCTGACTTCAGTGTTAGCATAAAGTGGAGCACATTATTAGTTATACTCATTGCTGTTGTTGGGAACACTTTCAATCTGGTTCCTATGTTTAACAAAGTATCCTGTGTAGCCATATACCACAAGAATATTCAAATGTGGCCATTTAACTCACTGGATGATGTCCACCTGTATACGGTTTTGCTAATATCTTTTTTCATCATTTCTGCTAAATCAGTAAATATTTTCTTTGACGTGCGGAAAGCTTTAGAGAATTGAAAGTTATCATAGCTACAAAACCATGGTTCCATCATTAAAAAAAAAATTTCTGAAAAAAAACATTTCTCCCATGAATATTATGAAAGGTTTCTTATTTAAACTTTCCATACACCGTTGTAAACAAAAAAGCACCGATTATTAAGTGATAATAAAAATAATCAGAGATTTTATACGCACTTTTCTAAAATAAATAACATGCAACAAAACCGGGGTTAAAACCAATGCGTTCAAGCGATTCGTGTAACTGACGTCATCAACCCGTGTGTCATCTTGAACCATATTATAACCGCAGCACATAACACAGAAATTTTGGTTATTCGCTTGGATTTGATTTTTATGACTTGCAGCATGGTCGTTGAGCATCTCGTTGAGTCATTCCTCCATATGTGACGCAATGGGTGACACTCACAGCTAACTAGACATAAGTTGAAATTTTATCGTTTTTTTTTTGACATTATGTAGATTTCTTTGCGTAATACCCTGCCGGTTACGTCGAGTTGCGGTCACCAGTTGTTTTGGGTGAGAACGGTTCCCTTGATTTAACAGCACGTAGAAGTTTGTATACATCTTCAAATTACGGGATTTCTAAAGCATGCACGTTTTCCTCTTTTTTAAGTGGACTATGTTATAAGCAAATCAGGTTGGTATCTTACTTGTTCAAGCAAGGTATGTAACATTTTATTTTGTTGGACTAATTCCTTGTTCTTGTTGTGAATTTTTATGCACTCCCTCTTTGCGAACGCATATTTTTTCGTTACTGTCTGCAACTGCCTCATTCGTTGCTGCAACTGAAACTGCCAGATTTCCATTCCTTTTTTTATATACTGGTCGAATGGAGTGAAGTATATTTTGATATCCGGTTCCATCTCTTTGCATATTTCAATGTAGCGGTTTGATGTCTGGCATATAACGCATTTTGTTTCTTCTAAAAAAGAAATTGATGATTGAGCTCTGTGCTTCATTCAGTATGATAATCGCAATCAAAAGCCTAGGCTAGATGTGTACAGGATGCCACCTAATAAGATTACAATATCTCGAGTAAATAAAATAGCACACATAGCGGATTTAGGTATCTAGGGGAGCGCTAAATGTGCTAGTCGTAGGACTGTGTAGACAGCCTCTCTCCCCTCCTCCCACTCAGTGAAAAGGTATGATGTTTTCTAGTACATCTTAGTCAGTATCCAAATCAGGCGCCGCGCGGTGTATATGTCCTAGTCTATAAACAAGTCGCATTTGAAAAACTGAATTTGGCACATTCTTAGAACAATTACGAGGGTTTACCAAAAAAAAACAGAATTATTTTTTAAAAGCTATTTATTTTCAACTTTTTCACAAAGTAACCTTATCTCTTTTAAAATACTATCCACTACAACTAACACAATTGTCCCACCGCTGCTTCCACTGCTCGAAACATTTTTTGAAGTGTTCCTTAATAATGTCTGACAGCTCCTCCCTCTTTTTTTCTTGACCTCTTCGATATCATCAAAGCGGCCTCCTTTCATGCTCCTTTTCATCCGTGGAAATGAGAAAAAGTCATACGGAGCCAGAAACTGTAGAACTGTCTGCACAGGTGCATTATCGTGGTGGAAGAACCAGTCTCCTGACTGCTACAAATCGGGTCTTTTTGCCGAACAACAATCGTCTTAAAACCTCCAAATAGCACAAGCTCTCGAATTTTGCAACATTTTCGTCGATTTGGGCAGTTGATAGACGTCCAGAGCGAGGTTTGTCATCAATCGACATGTTGCCATTTTTAAATCGAGCAAACCACTAGTACACCTGAGTTTTTCCCATAGCATGATCTTTGTAAGCTATTTTCAACATTAAAACAGTTTCAGCGGCATTTCTAATTAGAAAGCAAAATTTCACAGCTGCACGTTGCTCACTGAAGCTGGTCATCGTAAAAAATGAAACAAGCACGAAACAGCGCTAGCAAAAATAATGACAGAGGAACGAAACAAGCCAGATCGACAACTCAAGTGGCAGTGAACTGGTAATGAGTTGCGCAGAAATGTGTACACAAGCTCCGAACACTGCAATGCTATTCCGGTTATTTTTGGGTACCTCTTGTACGTATACCCTATTTCATGAGTATCCACCACGGTAGAAAGATAGCTGATTATTTAGTGATATCTCAAAATTCCCCATATCGGCACAGGACACATAATTCTAACGGATCCGTCAACATCAGGTAGTCAAAGCCGTATTCTGTTTTGTTTTTTTGTACGCTACAGATTCATTTTGTACTTGCTAACAGCTCTTTTATTTAGAAAAGTTCATTTGCATACAAAAAACAAAACGCTACAAACAAGTTTTACTAGATTTACACCCGATTCATAATTGCCAAATAACATAACATAATAACACAAAAATGTCACTTGCTGATCAGCTGTTCACCTCAGTAGACGTCAATGCGTGATGGATTCTCGTAAAGTAGGGTTTAGTAAGAATGAAAACATCATAACCTGAGACCTATCTGTACAACATTCGAACTTAACAGCCCGAGCTAAATGGCTAAAGACACCCTATTGCAATAATAATGAGAAGTTTAACCCAAACCTGGGTCATTATAACACCCGTTTTACATTGATAATAAATCCACGGATTTCTTCATGAATTGAGTTCACGGCCAAATTTTAAAAGTGTTAAACAGGGGAATTTGACGTTAAATAAACACAAAGTTTTTCCTGAATTTCTTCACGAAGTTATAACTTGTTCTAATTTCGTCGAATTAAATGGTGCCAATCTTGTTTTCCTTCATGTCTTTTATATTGAACAACTTTTCAATTCAAGTATAGAGTTTTGATTGAACAACAGTATTTTTTATACCGAAGCAGCCGCGCAGGTTAAAGCCTGAATGCCGGGACACCACGGCTGCTATGAGGATCTCAAAGAAATTTTGTTAATCCGATTTTTGACCTGCCTAAGGTTAGTAGAACTGGGAAAAGCTTCCTCTTGTAGATTTTTCCACAATCTCGCCACCCTTGGGACAAAGGAGCGGTCGTATCGACCAGTTCTGGATGTACGAAGTTCGACAAGGTTAGGATGGGAGGCCAAAGTCAGGCGGGTCTGTGTGGCAGGCACATATCGCGGCGGCATCATGGAAGAGAACTCTGAGGAGCAAAGCCCGTTGGTGTAGCGGTAGAAAAGAGCTAGATCGCCGACAGACCGCCGGTGTAAAAGGGCTCCGAGACTATGTTAGAGAAGAGTCGTCGATCAGTGGGACAGCCCTCCTCTGGACAGCATCGAGCATAAATAATGTAGTCGAGGTGGCAGCACTCCAAACGTGTGAGCAATACTCGAGGCTAGGCCTTATTTGGGCCTTGTATAGAGTGAGAAGGTCATGCGGAGAAAAGTACTTCGTAGCCCTAAAGAAATAGCCTAGCTTCTTCCCAGCAGCTGCCACTATTGACGAGATGTGTTCGTCCAGATCAAGTCCTCGGATATGGACTCCGACCAGCCGAAATGAACGCCTCTTTGGCAGAACTCGGTCATCCATCAAAACGGGATGAGCGCTTGGACGCTTTTTGTTCATCAAGCTACAATACTGTGTCTTGGAAGCATTAAAGTGTACAAGATTGTTGCGTCTCCAAGCAGTGATAACCTCCAGGTCTCTCGTCAGAGACGAAGTCGTCACTAGCCTTCTTTTTTCCAGCTCAGCGGCAGAGATCGGCTTGTCACCCTGAATTCTTGCATGTAGAGTGCTGTCAACAGAAAAGCTGGAAAGCAGGTCGTTGAGCAACAGTGTCGGAGCCAAGATCGATCCCCGGGGAACACCCGCGTTGACTTTGCGGGATGAAGAGGAGAACCTAGCAATTACGACGGATATCTTGCGTCTAGAAAGAAAGTCAGCCACCCATCTGCAAAGCTTCTCTGGGAGGCCATACGATGGAAGTTTGCATAAGAGGGCAGCGTGCCACAGCCTCACCATAAGCCTAGATAAGTTTACTCCACAATTGCGTGAAGTAAGCTAGGAGACCCCCTGTGGATCGCTGGTGCTGGAAACCATACTGCCTGTCGCTAATCAAGCCGTGACGTTCGAGATACTCCAGAAGCACGCGATTTATGCACCTCTCCATCACTTTTCTTATAACAGAAATCAGAGCTATATTCCTGTAGTTATAAGAGTCGGTATTAGATCCTTTTTTTGTAATGGGCTGGACATGAGCAAAATTCCAGTTTTCTGGGAAGGTGCCGGATTCATAAGATATCTAGAAGAGACGCGAAAGAACTCAAGCAAGCTCCGTTGCACACCTTTTCAGTACAATGGCAAGAATCAGGTCCGGACCAGAAGCTTCCATTCATCGTTGTTCGTCAGAGCGATCTCTTGTTGATGTCTTACGGTTTTATGCCTGAATGTTACTTCCCGTATTGTGTAAGGAACCCTTTGAATCGTCTGCACTTGGGCGACGGGAAGGCCGTCCATGGTGGAGTTGGCAGCATAGATCTTGACAAGCACTTCCGCCTTGGTCATCGTCCAAAAAGACCGACTACCATTGCGCTGCGACATTAACTAACTTGTATATCGTGCTAGTCTTTGGCATTACGAACCGCTGCGTTATATTTGTTTCTGGACTCGATGTCGGCTTGTCTGTTCTCTACAGTGGGGTTTTCTAAGAAGGTTATGTGTGCCTTGATCTTCTGCTGGCCAGCAGTGTCACACGATTTGTTGAACCAGCCGTTGGACCTTGGTTTAGGCAATTTCACTGTATGTGGGATGTATTCCTCCATCTCGACTTGAATAATTTCGGTTATCGCTGAACAGACAGCCGACGCGTCCGCGTCAGCGAGACAAACATTTCTCCAATGAAAGGTAGAGATTAGAGAAGCAGTCTTCGAGCCCCTCCGAGTCGGCATGTCGGTAATGCCAAATGTTGCGGCCTGGGAGAATTTCTGCTGCCACAGAGGGTTCTGACCGAAACCTAACCTCCACATCACCGTGGTCCGAGTTGCCCAGGGGGGACAGGACAGCAGTGCTGTAGGGGACAGGAAGAGATCCAGAAGGCTACTGGTATGTGAGGACACGCGGGGGAAAAAAGTAGGGCTCATCACCAGCTAGGCCAGCCCCTGAGCGAACGCTTCAACTGCACGACCTGTTACATCGGTCTTGTTTGAGCCCAACCAAAGCTCATTATGGGCATTGAAATCACCGAGGAGAACTTCCTCTTGATGTTCAGGAAGTCTATCTTGACGGCGAGGTATTCAAGTAAGTCATCCCAGTTTTGGTCCGGCGGAGAGCGAGAAACGCATCAAATAAATTTGGGGAGTATTTTGGAGTTGAGGCGAAGCCACAGAATGCCTTCCGATCTGACTTCAAAGAAGCATCTCTGGAGTAGGAAAGACTGCTGTGGATAAAAGCCACATTTCCCCGTTCTTTCTTAGATTGGAGTGCATCTCGTAATTTGGGAAGCTAAGATGATTAATCGGTGCAGACTGTGGGATTTTTATCTCCACCAAGAAAAGCATGGCGGAACGATTGGATTGCAAGTACCTAGTGATGAACAGCATCAATGTTGCTGTTAATTCCACAGATGTTCGTGAAACAAATTTTATCTTCGATGTTGTTCCCTCGAGTCCACCCTCCACCCGAACTTTCCGAGAGTGGAGTGAGTTTACATCCGGAATACTTAGTACCCGAGGGATCCATCATCATCAATTTCTTTGTTGGGGAACTTAGGTGTGGAAACATATGCAGACATTTATAAGACACCCTGGGAAAAGCTAGCGGGTGGTACCGCCGCGGTCGACTGGTCCTTGTCTACCACCTTCTTTTTGCCTGTTAATGATAGATAAATAGACCTAAAGTGGCCCGTTGCGGTCCTGCTGTCTTGTTCGGGTCAGCGTCCCTAGACCGGCACGGGTATCACGTAACTTGAAAAGTGACATTATGCCGATTTTTTTTGACATTATGCTGTTTTTTTTTACATTATCTAGGTTTTTCTACAAGATATCAACTTAGCACTTAGTTGTACTTGTTACCTAAACGTCATCAGGCTTGGCTCTGGTGACGTAAAATCTGCTTCTGAGATGTCATTACTGGAGGTCTAAGCTGTAAGTTGTATGTGTTGATGATAATCACATTTTGTTCTTGTCTCAAATACACTTAACCCAGATATTACTGAAACTTTTTCCCCAATATTTGCGGATTTCTTAGTGAGAGTACAGTAAATTGACTCCATTTCAACAACCAAAACCAGTTTATGAACTTTTTTATCTCTAACAAACGGTTACGAGGTGTTCTTTAAAAAGGACGGTAGTAAAATGACTTGCTGATAGCACAAATTTTATTTTAAGAACACATATTGCAAGACATAAAACAAATAACTATTCGGTGTGATACTGTTCGAAACACGTTTTAGAATGTAGTGGAACACTACATTTTCTGCAGCGAAACTGAACTTTTTTATAGCATTCGCCACAACGTTGCAGCTTCTCTTGATAAACTACTACTATCTAGAATAAGCACTCTTGCATGATCACTATTTGTAGAAGCACACTGTATAAATGTCGATATATGGCTCAAGCGATACGCATGGGACTAAACTGTAGTAATTGGTGGTAGTTCTAATGTTCTTTGACAGAGCACGGTGGTGGTACCTTCTGTCAAATTACTGAAACTCCTTACAGAATCCTTGAATCGCAATGCCTTTATAAAGGACGGTAGTACTATCTGGGTTAATTGAGATTCAAAGCTAGTTGTGCATTCACTTTTTCTTATCCATTCTGGAAATTACAAATTCAAACTTGCTGGATTTCATAAAAGAGATATATAAGAAATAATTATATTCACTGTACACTGTCGAATTACAAGCCATATACATGCTAACAGTAATTACACACAACGCGGGCGCGGTGATGATTTCCCTCAATTCTCCTCAGTTTTTCGTAATTTACAACTTTGAACATAACCTCTCTTCAGAACGCACAATATATAAATAACCCGTCATATTCGGCATATTCAGTAATGATTTTCTCACACAGCAAATATCACTGATTTTATACACATGCAGACCAATAATACACATAATCATCCAGAAGCAATCTTGCTATTCAACCAACTTTCTTCACAGAGATAAAAACTACAGACAAGAACCATTTGGTCTTACAAAGCATATGCAACCAATAATGCGTTAGTTTAGTTGAGTGATTCCTCCTTAGATGGACGTTCACAACGAGTGAGCAAACGTGGAATGGCTGTTTGCGCCCGAAAAACTACCTAGTTTGCAAGATGACATCTTATAGGTTTTTTTTTGACGTTTTATAGGTTTTTCACATGATACCCATGCGGCTGCCTTCGCCACAGCTCAAGGAGCCCTTAGCAATATGAATTCTGTTTATCAGATTCGCCTCCAAATCAAAACCATAATAGAGATAAGAGCTCAAAATGTTTGTAGCAAAAACTTGTTGAGTGTAATTGTTTAATAAAAATTTGTCCTTTGTGTAAACATCGAAAAACATAATCAGGATGACGAAGAAATCCATCTTAATAAATTCATGAAGAAATTTTTGATGTAAAACGGGTGTACAAAACAAAAAGTATAATGCCTGACTTATGACGCAGGTTTTGTATAGCCAAACGTCTAAAACAGATTCCAATAGCAGCTCTATATAGATGCTATCTCGAAGGATAAAACCAAACATTACAATTGTTTCGGAGAAATTTGCTAATATACATTTACCATTGAACTTATAGTACTCAAATTATTGTAGAAAATTTGGGTTGATATAACATTTTTTCGTAAATACGGCTACCACTTTGTTTTTCAGTAGACTTTTTTCGTTAGAATTGAAAACAAAAATTCTAATACTCACTTATCCCCACAATGCAGGACTGGCAAAAAATATGGCTACATTCAGTCAGGAAATACTTCAGATGTGGTTTATATATCATTGCACATTTATTACAATAAATCCAATCAGCCATATTTTCGAAACCACAAACAACTCAGTCACAAACTCAAATATGGACTATTCAAATATTTATCATTCAAAAATTTATGGAACACTTTGTAGAGAGCAAAGAACAAGGATCATGGAATTGACAGAAATAGAAATGAGACACAAATCCTTAAAAGCATGGGGCAGACGTAACATATCGGTTGTTTCTAGTTTAGAAGTGCTTCAGTTCGCCATCTTTTCACTACCGAACATATTATGTATATTCAAATACATTGTGTAGTTGAGGTTGAGAGCATTAATTAAATCATGAAACATCCATCCTCTTAATTAAATTGAATGTATTCATTGATTAATATATTCACTTAGCTAGAAGAAAATGAACCGTTCCAACAAAATTATTTCTAAAGACCACTGTTACTTGGTAAATGGGAAATTCCATGATTCGGTTGTCGAGCTAAGTAAATGTTTGACAGCTGGTAGCGAACGTTGATCGTTGAACTCGAACTTGAATCATAAAGTGAGGTTATATACTTTTAGTAATTAAAGTTTAGATTAGATAATAAACAAATAAACATGAATTAATTATTTGATCTGTATTATGTTGGCAGTTCATCGAGATGTCGTCAACATCGTTCAAGCAAAATTTTTATCTGCAGAGGTTGTTAAGAGTGTATCCTTTTGAAAACATTGGTTTGTGAAAAATACGCATTCCGAGTATGTCCTTAACAAGATAACAAGGTACAGATCCACCTAAATGTATCCTCACTTGATGGGAACTGGTGTGACGAAGGGAGGATTCTTGCTTTAGTCGAATACAACAAAACATTTGCCTTATTTGTTTTGATATCTGCTAAATTGAAACCTGTTAGTATTTCTGATCTTTCCATTGAAATCGTTATTCCCATTGATAAGAATTTCTCATGTGGTAAGACTCTCAATTATCAAATTGGCACTATTAAGCTACGAGTTATTGTTATTTTAGATACTGAACCTATAGAAGATAGTCAACGCCATATTATTTTTATTATTACTTATAAGAAAACAAAGCTCAGCTTTAAAATAGAGATAGGAGCTGAGAGTTCCAACTTTGCTTCTGAAGTTATCCGCTCCAAGGAAGGTTGTATTACCGGAAGATATTTAAAAAGCTATTCCAATTATTTTCTTCTTTTAGTATCTTCACAAAGTAATCCTGTTTTTGTCTGGTTGGATAAATATCTTGGCACTATGAATCAACAAAACAGAAACTCTTCAGATTTAACTGACCAGGTAACAGAAATCAAATATTACAGGTGGTCAAAATTCACTAATGATACACAGTTGTAATGTTTATACAAACTATCTAAAAAATGATAGTCCCCACTTGAAACACATTATACCTTAGTGCAAAGTCAGACCAATGACAGTGGCGGATTTAGAGGGGGAGTGCTCGCCCCCTAGACGTCTGATACTTGCTTTTGTAATATAACACCATTGTGTTGCTTTTTGACACATCATGGCGACAGAGGCATACTAACTATAAGTTACAGCTATAGGAACTGAGCATTGTGATTTTTGGTATCCTTTGGTATTCCAAATGCTGTTCCTCTTCGACATCACTTAACATTTACAGCACAATTCTTTCGATTTATATGTATATACAAGTATTGTGACTTGTGACAAATCTAATTCTAAAGTCTGGTTTTATTGCTGCAAGTTGCGCAAGGGAGTATTCAAAACATGGCGCATAAAATGGGTACACCAATTTTTGTGGGAAAACTTTTTATTTGACAAAACGTGTTTTTTGGGATTCAATCTAAATAATTGGCAGGGACAAAAAAACTCTCCTTATAAGATTTTTAAGTATTTATGAGACCTACAAAAGGAGACCACAAGTAAAAAGATCTGACTAATAGTAAAAAAGTTATCGCCGAAAACCGAGGCAGGTCTTGGCACATGTTGGTATTGCGACGACGGTTTGTCGCAGATATTTGAAATTCTTCAAATTCGTACGATTGGTACTTCTAAATAACTACAACAAAATTGGAGTAGATTGGTCAAGTAGTTTGTGAGAATTTCTAATTGTTTACCCCAAGACATCTGTTTTCCGGCCATCACTACTAGTTTTTTTGAGCAATACACATGGGTTAGTTCAAACGGCATTTTATAGCAAAATACACTAGTTTACCTTGCCGATATGAATCGAAAACTGTTCCGGAAGATAAATGTTATTTTTATGCAAAAAAATGATGGGGTACGTTTTTCTTCTAAACAAATTAAAAATTTGTGAGTAACTCGCAACAGAAGATGATAGACGCATCCGCTTTGTTTTAAAATGTGTATAGTAACGTATGTATTTCGAATATCGTAGCGCATTTGCTCAATTACTCACAAATACGAAATGTTTGAATTTGCTTTGAAGACAAAAACGTAACCTTTGTTTTTGGCATGAAAATAACATTTATCTTCCGGAATGGTTTGTAATTCATATCGGCAAGGTATATTAGTGTATTTTGCTGTAAAATGCTCTTTGAACTAATCCTGTATATAGCTCAATAAACCAGTAGTGATGTCCGGAAAATAGGTATTTTGGGATAAACAATTAGAAATTCTCAAAAAACTACTTGACCATTATACTCCAATTTTGCTGTTGTTATTCAGAAGTATGAATCCTGCGGATTTGAAGAATTTCAAGTAGTTGCGTAAAATTATCGTCGCATTACCAACAAGTGCCAAAACCTGCATTTTGCCTGGTTTTTCGGCCATAACATTTTTGTTATTAGTCGGATCTTTTCACGAGTGGTCTCATTCTGTAGGTCTCATAAATACCTAAAAATCTTACATAAAAAGTTTGTTCGTTCCTGTCAACACTTTCGATTGAATCCCAAAAAACTCATTTTCTCATTCTTTGTTGTCAAATAAAAAATTTTCCCACAAAAATTGGTGTAACCATTTTATGCGTCCTTGTTTAAAATGCGCCCTTGAACAACTTGCACCAATAAAACCGGACTTTGCAATTATTTCGGGGAAATTTGCTAATATGATTAGAATATATGTTAGATGAACGCCTACATCGGAAATATACATTTATGAGATTTGCTCAGCGGTGCGCTTGTAGCCTGTCCAAAAACTGCGTCGATCGATGCTCAAAGTCCCTCATTTCTTCCCGCGTATGTTTCTATTTATGTTGCTATATTGGAATTCGTCACAGAGCTTCTGCACTACACGTCATTATGTACAGCCCGGTATTCCTGTTCTTGTTTCGTACAAACATACATTATCAAAATAATTACCATCTAACATAATAGTTTTTTCCAAAGATTTCCCACATTTTTACATGCGATCAACACCGATCGAAATATTGAATTTAAAAAAATAATTGACTATACCTATTGATATTTTTATCACGTGCTGATATAATAGAAGTGCTTGATTATGTCAGTATTTACACCAATTACTTGATTTGTTTAACGGGTAGTTCAGAGTATTAATCCTTAAGCTTAGTACACACTAGTAGACCCAGTTGTGCAATTTGTCTATATGCAGTCTGGAGACGGTCTCAAGACACGCTCTATAGATGGTCTATAGACATCCTTCTTTGTCTCGTCCATACGATAATATGAATTTTTCGGTCTCATGTTCGTTTTCGCTATCAAAGACATTGTTTTGTGTGGAATGGCTGGGATATGTCTCGGGGTCCCTCAAAATGTCTTTTTTGGTTAATAGAGCAATGAAGTTTTTTATGTTTTAATCTTTAATATTATTACACTAGTTAATTGTAAATGCCACGTAATTCTTTTGTTCTCATTTAATAAACAATCCTTTCTGAGGATTTCTGAGCACTTTCCATGTATTTTTTTTTCAAGTTGGCATTGGACAGATATAACAATGGATTTAAGGAGCAATAATAGGTTAAATTCTAGATGTTCCACTGAGATCGTTTGCGCCCCCTCCCCTAAACGAAATCCTGGATCCGCCCTTGACCAATGAGCTATGTGCATTATGTGAAATCCTAGAGAATAGCCAAAATCATGATACAAGTAACATAACCCAGAAGTATACTATGCTACACTATTGTAGGTATTCTTATCTTTTTATAAAGAAGCCCTTAAAAGTAACAAAATCACTCATTTGCTCTTTCTTAATATGTGAGCCATTAGCATAACCACTTCTGTTCCCTCTGCTTAAATGATTCACAAACTTCCTGAATCCAGTACTCCTCAGTCACTACCTTATACAGGGTGATTCACAAGTCGTGACCAACAATTAAACATCATACGCAGGGCTGCATTTTAAGGTGGGTCTTCTATGTAACATTTATCACTCGAAGAGATATGGGTTGTTGAAGTTTAAAATATTTTTTTTAATATCTTCAAAACGGTCAAAAAGGCTTTACTTAAAATTAACGTGCATCAGTGGCAGATATACAGAGGATTAGTTGCATTATTTTCGCAAATAAAAATAGTACGCCACTGTTTTTTTTTTATTGAAAGGCGCAATTTTTTGAATTTAACCTTCAATATGCTACAAATAATTACTCTTGCGTTTTTTCCCAAACTGCACGGTTTCGAAAAAATAAAAAAAACAAATTACATAATCAAAGCTTTATTTCAATAAATGTTCAAAAAGACCACCATCCTGACGGATACAAGTGCGTCATCTTTTTAATAAAGAAAGACGTATTTCCACAAAATTTGTTATGGCTTGAATTTGATGAAACGTATTGTCTATTATTTCTTGTAACTGATCAACAGTATTAATTTGTTCAGCATATACTAATTGCTTAAAAGCGCCCCACAAAAAGAAATCCAGGGGGTTTAAATCAGGAGACCTCGCAGGCAATTTACGGGTACGTTTCTGAAAATCGATTGTTGTCTAAAATGATTATTTAACCATGCGATTATGTCACGACGAACATGCGGTGGGGCACCGTCGTGCTGATACCACATTAGTACTCTCGTTGCTAACGGAAAATCTAACACATTTTCTATGTAATCCTCTACAAAATCTAAGTATGAGTTTGCATTTAAACGTTGTGGCAATACGTGCATAAGGAGTTGGCCATTGAAAATGCCGCACCAGACAGTTCTAGAAAATCTGTGTTGAAACGAGTGGATTCTTACAGAAGGGGGATTTTCTAAAGACCAAATATGTTCATTATGAGAATTAAAGGTTCCACTCCTCGTAAAAAGCGATTCATCTGACCACAAAACCAAATCAATAAAATCTGCATTCTGAGTATGCATTTGCAGTAATCAGTCACAAAAATTTCGCCGTTGCACTTCATCGCCGGGTTGCAGACATTACACATTTTACCGATGGTAAGGATGTAAAACTTCCCGATTTAAAATTCCCCACGCAAGACTCTGGGAACATGGTAACTGGGCTGCAATCCACCTAGTACTTGAACTAGGGTCATCCAACACCAAATTGATCATTTCCAGTTCCTGTTGAACAGTATGTCGGACACCATGGGCCTCTAACTCCGGGAAGTTTGGCAATTCCATATTGCTGAAGTTTTAGAAATTAACGCGTAAAAACCTTTAGGGTGGGTTGGCGTCTGTTAGGAAATCTACGTCGATAATCCCGAGAAGCCGCTAAAGAATTTCCATTACAGAACCCGTACACAAAAATAATATCGGCATACTCATCATTGCAAAATTCTAATTCACGACAATCAAAAATGGAAAAAAGAAACTTTTGACTTGACTTTAAAAAAAAATGGTGGTAGTAACGATAACAACCGTATAATACATAACTTTGACAAACCATCTCCCAAGGAACGTCAAGTTGGTATCAAGGCCTCCTACTTTATTTTGAAACTAATTGTATCACGGTTCTTCATGAATGATCTAATTTGTTTCATTTTTACGTAAACAGTGCACTTTAGGAAAAAAACACAAGAGTAATTATTTGTAGCAAATTGAAGCTAAATTTGAAAAATTGCGCGTTTTGAAAAAAAAAACAGTGGCTTACTATTTTTATTTGGAAATATAATGCCACTAATCCCCTATATCTCCGCCACTGATGCACGTTAATTTTCAGTAAAGACTTTGGGATGTGGAAAATACTTAGGTAAACCCACATACCAAATTTTCAGTTCATTCCAGTTGACGGTTTTGAATATATGTATTATAAAAAAATATTTTTCATTTTTAAACTTATCTTTTTAATGAAGCCCTCGAGGAAAAAATATGACATATAAGACCACCCTATGCGGTCTTGTGTATGGTGTTTTATTTTTGGTGACGACTTGTGAATCACCCTGTATAGACCAGTGCTTGAAGTTTTTGCAATATTTTGAAGTTGCACTAATGTCATATCCTTCAATCATCAAATGAGCAACAATGCATACAGTAGAAACAAATCACTTCTAGTAAACTGACTACTACTGCAGGGATGTGTAAGAGTGTGAAAATGCATAAGAAGTATCAGTTTACATTTTAAGATTGAGATCGAAGAATTTGTTGCTAATCAAGTGGTTTAGTTTATAAAAAATGGGTTTGAGGTCTTTTGTAATTTTAATGAGATTCTGACTGTTCTAATGGTTGTTTTATTGAGAAAAAAATTGTGGTTGTGTTGCTTCATATTAGGAATGGCCAATTTTACCAAGTACCTATTTCACTGAGTATTAAATTACTGAACCAGGTAATGACTCAGTCTGAATGCAAGACACGCAACTTAAGTAAATCAAAAAATTGAATCTGCGGTATGCAAAGTCTGAACTCATATACTTTTCCCAAACCTCCCTGATATGTCCCCCAAGGTATTAATGTACCATCAGGATATTCTGTTGTCCCAAGATGAACGCCTCACCCTGTATATAACTTTGAAGCAAGCAAATTCGTTATTGTCGGTCTTCGTCATAAATCCATACATGGCAGTCTGGATTACTAGAAGTACCAAATGCAAGAACTGAATCTAGGTCTAATTCTCACATACTCCTTGGCATATTCATACCAATTGACATGACATCTGATTAAGTTTCAGTCTTTATCATAATTCTATGTTAAAACAGTACCAAAAATATAAAAAAGTAGGCTTGTCATCATATGCCAAGGCGGTCCAGAGAGAAACTTGACACGACATCTGGTCAAGTTTCAGTCTTTATCATAATTTATCATAATTCTAAGTTAAAACAGTGCCAAAAATATAAAAAAGTATGCTTGTCATGGTATGCCAAGGCGGTCCAGAGAGCCTTTGCTTTCCTATCACAATCTGTCAGTCCTAGGGTTATTGGAGCCACAATAAACCAAAGAGTCGCAGTGGAGGATCGTTATTGATGCACTCACAAGAATCCTAACGTAACCTACGCTTATTGCATGATTTTGGCTTTTTCTCCGATATCACAAATGTGTGCTTAACTCAGAGATGGTACAACTTTCTACTAAGGTATATGTGAGAGTCGAGTATTAGCACCCCATGCTTGCCTGACCAAGAATTAGCTTAGCATCTACTCAGAAAAATATACTGATTCGGATTTTTCGCATAAACTTATTCATTATTCATGTCATATAATATCAGACTGCCAATTATGCTTATTAGATTATGTTCTAATGGCCTGTTGCATCTTGCATCAACGTTGAATTTGATTTTTGTAAGCCTACAGAAATCTATGGACATTTTTATATAATTAGGATGGTAGATGACTCACAAATTTTTGGGAATTCCAGTTCAGGCAGAATATTCAAAGCTATACAACTAATTTTTAAAAAAATGCTGTAGTTACTAATTTCTTGGAAATAACTTTTGTTTTTAGTCTTTGAATTATTCTTCTAGAAAATCACTATTTATTAGTTCAAGAATACCCTAATCATCTTTTAAAATACCATCATGACCAATAAAATCCATTTGAGATGACTAAAAATGTATTAGACGATATTCAACCTCCAAAAGTTGAACTTGTAAGTTAAACACAGTTCACAAAATCTTGAACAGTGTACAGGTGCAATAGAAATCTTCAAATTAAACTAGCTTTCCGTTTAAACTAAGGTTGAGTAGTATTCGTGCAACAGGCCATAATTTGTTTTTTTTATTGTCTGTTTTTTAACAAAATGTTGAAAACAAAAAGACATTATTTATTTTGCGTGTTAGGGCCGTACCGTCAGTCGTCCCTACAATTGTAGGACGCCCTTATGGCGACCTTGATTTTCATAGTTTTCTACTGTTCCATGTCGCGTTATATTTTGAGATTATTTCACAAATATCTATTTGCATCAAATTGTTCATGCTTTTGATTTATATCATATTTTATCAGCCTGAAATTTCCTACAATTTGAAAAGAAAACATAACTTCACAATAGGAGAGGGCCGACGCTGACACGGGGCAGTAGAAATCTAGAAATCCCAGCCTTTCTGCATTCTAGAAACTCAAGGAGGCCAATTTTTCTACTGTTCCGTGTTACTACTCTATTTTGAGGTTATGTTACAAATACCTTTTTGCATCACATTGTTGATGCTTTTGATTTATATCATCTGTTATATCAGCCTGAAATTTCCTACAACTCAAAAAGAAAACATAGCATCGCACTAGAAGAGCGCCGACGCTGACGCGGAACAGTAAAATCTAGAAATACCCTCGCCTTTCTGAAGGAGAGAAAATACTATGGAAATCATGGAAGCCATAAAGGCCTCCTACAATTGTAGGAACGACTGACGATACGGCGCTTAAGAGACAAATGTGGTACTGTTTTAGTTTTATTTTCCTAAGTCTTAGTAATATTTGATAAAGATTATTACATAATGCACAGTATCTGCGAATTATATTGTTAGCCCTTAAGATTTGTAGTCGACCTTCAAACACCCTGTATATAGCTATCATATTAATACATTCTTCCTTTTAGTCTGACTTACCAATAACAAGACAACATATTGCTCAAGGACAAACAGCAATAAATAGGGAGTCAATGCTAAAATATCAGTTGAAACTTAGAGAGCCAGAGTATACTCAGACACAGGAATTTACGTGAGTGAATCAAATGCATATTAATATAAGACAATTGAATAATTATTTTGGGGAGATCTTCGAGAGAAACCCAAAAGAGAAAGGAGAAAGATTCTGATACCAGGTTCTCAGTTGTAGATTTGATTTTGAGAATTTACACTTTTTTATTTGTATTTCAAAATAAATGTTCACTTAACTCAAGCATTGGGAGACAGCAATAAATATGTTGCATATGGTGCGTAAGTCTATTTCACATAAGTATAATAATTTACTTTTCATCCTATTCCTACTATTGTTATTGGACGAAATTTATGTTCTTAGTTTTTAACTGTGCAATAAAATGATTCAGAACTTTACAAATTCCTAAAGGTAAGATTTAGTATTTATTGGAATGATCCCAAAATGTTATGTTACCATACCCAAAAATCACAAAAACGTCGGAGAGTTTATTATTAATCAGCAAATCATACGTCCTCCTGGTGGCGCAGAACTTAATGTTGTGCGACTAAAATTCGAAAATGTGATATTATACTTTTTTGATGTTATTTGGCATGTACATCACGAAAAACTAGGTCACTAAATTCCGTCGATCTGTCTAGCCTTGGACTGTCTATAACTTGGAAAGTACCTGTTGGATTTTGATGAAATTGCCACACGAGGTTACTACTGTGCCAAGAACGAAAAAGCTTCGCAGTAGTTTTTGTAAATCGGTCCAGAGGCAGCGGAAAAAGGGCTAATAACGAAAAAAATGAAAATCGCTTCATGTTCTTTTTTGACGTTTCATTTTTGAACGATTGTTTAAGGGTAAAAAATTGGGAAAGCGGGGGTTGTAGAGGAGTCGGGGAGGTAAATATCATTCTTTTTATTTCAGTATGCTTATACGCTCCTAACCTCTGCAGTTCTACGCACCTATTAGACATATTCCACATATCAAAGTTTTTCCTGTACATTTTCCATTAGAATGATAGACAAGTGCTTTCGATACGCTTTACTTCTGCTACTGTCTGGGATCACAAGCGAGCGTTCCGGTTTTGATAAGTACTCTGGCCTTACGGACGCGTTGTGCCGTCAGGTATCGGGGAAAGGCGACTTTGCCAGATGGACTACCGGAAGAGCAGGAAAAGAATGTCTCTGGACTAATTGTATGGGCCCGACTTGATCCGTTTAATTTCTCTGTTACACATGTCCGTAACTAACTGATTTTTCAGAGAGTCTAACTTGTGCTGAACACATCATTTGAGAACTGATAAAGAGGTTGCGTGGGAAGTGCAGAGTCAACCTACTTGACGCTACTTTTTATATTTTTGAAAAAATACCCTTTCGTGAATCATTTGACATAGGGAAAAGCCATCTACAAGAAAATATATCCCCACAAAATCTGAAAAACAATATTACTTGTAGTGTATGCCTTTTGTTCAGTTATATGGATCATTCTTAATCAGTTGTATGAGTAAACCTTGATACTCCTAGCTGGCGCAAGTCTCACTATATTACAGTAGCTGTATATTTTATCATATATTCATATGTTTTCATGCAATTATGAGAATAGCATTTACATCACTAAGCCCACAAAAAAAGGAAAATCAAAATTCATGTTGCAGTGTCTTTATTGGAACATGGAATGTGAATGGCCAACCCCCATCAGTATCTCTGAGATCCTGGCTAAGTGCAGATGAAGATCCGCCAGATGTATATGCTGTAGGTTTCCAAGAAATTGATCTGAGCAAAGAAGCATTCCTATTCAACGACACGCCTCGAGAGGCTGAATGGAAGTATGCACACAATTTATGATGAATTAGAATTAACATTGTATCATTATTTCACTACTACTGACCAGGATTAAATTATAAAAATTATAGTAAACTGTGGTTATTCAGAAAATATCGTTGCAAATGGTGGATCGATTATTCATTATATTTTAACGGATAATCGATCGTTCCGGATCAGATGGTATTAACCGCTTCGTTGAGAGATTTACCACTTTTTCACAAACAACTCTACTTTCTTAAGTGTAAGTGCAATGGTATATAGTATATTAGCTCCCTAACACCCCTCAGAATAACATTAAAATTCCCTGTCTCCATCCGATCTACTTGTAAAGATATGATAACATAGTTGAGTCTAGAAATGGCCCAGTATCTTTTAACTAGCCAACTCTATGGTAATAGCTTCGTTATTGCAATTTTTATTTTTTTCGGGAACTACTCTAATTTTCACATTTAAACGAATAATATATTTAATATTCGTATAATAATAATCATTATTATTATTCCAAATCTGGAATTTCAAATACATAATATGTACATATCCCATAGATGTGAAACTAACGTCATACCCTTTGCGAGACTAAAATGAAGGGTTTATCTATTCCGAAATACTGTTCGGTTCCAGTAGAATTAAAACCCGTTTCCGGTTTTTGTTTTCAAGGCTCCTGTACTGTTTTAAATGATTAGGAAATTTATTATACAACTTTGCGCACATAATAGAGTTTTTTTCAGTTACTGTCAGCCTATGCTGATGTGTGATCATTTTTTCATGGTAAAATTGTTTCTGTTTTTCACTGTGAACATTAAACCTATAGGCTTGAATACGCGTCTACATGTTTAAAAAAAAATTCATATCTCATTGCTCTTATGGTCCTTTTTTGAATCGCAAATAATTTGTGCAGCTCTGAGCTGCCTCTAAACAGTATTATTTCATAGCATAAAATCGATTCAAAATTCTGAATTTATATACCTAGACAGCACTGTTATTCCATAGCTGATGCTACTCATTTTCAAAGCAGCATATTAAACTTGTCCTGTACTTTTCATGCTGATAGTTCTCCATGTTTTTTTGGTCGTTAAATGAAACCAAATATATGTATAATTCACTATTTACTGATGTTTCATCAGCCACCTCGATTGGCTTTTTCAAAGCAGAAATCAAAAATGATGACAATATATTTTATACTAAACCAAATCCGCGGATCTACTCGCGTGGAAGTAGTATAAAGTATATAGTGAAATCCATATACCACTGGCGTCGTAATGTGTACGAGAGAGAAGCGCGGGAAGTGTGCAATACATATGTTAGGAAGAGTGCGCCAATGGCAACGCGGCAAGCCGCAGCTGCATCCGTGGACTTATCACTCTTGTTGCTAGGCAACGTGGTGCTTCTATCTCTTTCTAACATACGTATTGCACGCTTTTCTCTCGTACACACTACGACGTCAGTGGGATATGGATTTCTCTGTATGTCATTTGTTTTGCATTAGTGTGAAGGAGATCAGTTACTTTGGCAATGAACGGTTTTATCCAACATTTCAATGCAATAATAAATCAGCTTCAATGTTCTGCTTTTTATATATCCAGAATAGAAAGAAAAAAGCTTACTTGAAAATGTATCTTGACATGACCTTGAAGCTCATGGTCAGTTTCATAGGTAATGATATACTTGAACTTGAAATTGTCCGCAATTTGAATTTCAGGAATTAAAGATACATATCCCGATAAAAATTCATTTGATTTTGAAATGATCTTGTTGGTTATATTCAAAGTCATAGCCATACTTGAACCTAAAGTGTCTTGATATTTTTATTTTTGTGACAAAAATGGAGGCTTACGATTGAGAAAACTTTCTTGACCTTCAGGTGAGCTTGCATGTCCTAGTTGAAGTCACGTTCAATGTAATAGTTAGATGAATATTTCCAAATCTTGCAACTTTATCACACATTTTTTTCTGTGAAACGAATTTTCCCTACTTTCTGGACACCCTCAAATACCCATGTAAATAGTGATCAAGGTCATGTGCAAAGACATACTCTAACGTAAAATTTCCCGTTCCGATGTCAAAAGTAGGGGTATCATTTAGGCAAACTGTCTGGACTTTCACATGATAGAAGGACATATTCAAGGCCACGTTCAAGATCATCAATGGATTTATATTTTCAAACCTTACAACTTTGCTCTACAACATTTTTGTCTAGGAAACTAATTTTTCGAGATATTTTGATCTATTCATAGTTTTTGAAAACCATGCCTATAACCTTCCTCGGGCATCAATTACTAAATGTGCACATTTTCACGCCTCTGTATCGTGGATTCTGACAGAGTGGACATTCACAATTATACAGAGCGTTTCAGAAAGACGTGCCAATATTTCTAGGGTAAAAAGTACATCCAAAAATAACAAAAAAAGTTCCTATACATATGGGTTCCAAGATGCTCCACTACCGCGATACAGGGTGATGAAGTTTTGATTACGAAATTGAAAAAGATTAACCTACGGAGAGAGTGAGTTAAGATATAATACGTTCAGTTAGTTTCCCGGCCCAGACTAAACCAAGGACGTAGAAACTGAAGAACCTGGGCCCCTGGTATGAAATATTTTCTACGCTACTGCCCTTTTCGGAGAAAATACGTGCATTTTATAAAATACCATTCAATTTTCCATAAATTTTGTCTCTTAAGGAATTTTTGTCATATCACTCGTTTCGGTGATATTCTGATTTGAACATTTAAGATAAAATCCTAAAATATTATTGTGCAATTTTAGCCTACCCTGTTCTGAAAACATCGTGAAGCTTAATATTGGAAACACTATATGGCATGTGAAAAAAGATATGATACCTCATTACAACATTAATTGAATAAAAAGCGTGTCTTATCTTCAACCAGTAGCGTACAAGCTTACCATAGATTAAACTATTTTTGTTTATAGATAAAGAAACTTTAAAACAAAGAAAACGCTTATTTCAAAAACAAATAAATAAAGCTAATATGAATTAAAAATTATAACAATAAACATTTCATTTGATACAACTTACGTGGTTATTTCCAAATATCTGAGGGCATAACTTTGGGAACAAAAAATAATGCTGAATGAATACTATAAGATCCAACCTAAAGGAGGTGTTGAAAGTGACCACATCTGGACTTAAAAAGCCCGTGCTTTTCTGTAAACTTCTTCCTCAAACCTCGTGTCCAAGGCTGCTAACGCTTTGTGATATCTTCTTTGTTGACTTCACTTAATCCAAAATGGTAAAGAATTTTGATAAAAAATGCCGATAATTGCAGAAGTAAAATTGAACGGTTCCACAATTACTAGTTGTGATTTTCGACAAACAGAAGAATCTGATATGAGTAATATCATGGAAACCAGTAGCGGGCATAGACAAGGTTTAATGAATGGTAAGCTTCTACGCTACTGGTTGAGGATAAGACGCGCATGTCATTTAATTAATGTTGTAATGAGGTGCCATAACTTTCTTCATACGCCATGTAGTGTTTCCAATATCAACAGCTCCACGGTGTTTTTAGAATAGGGGAGGCTAAACCTTTTCTTAAAAATTTTTAAGGATTTTACCTAAAATACTCAAACCTAAATATCTCCAAAACGAGTGCCTTTACCCGCTCCGTAAATACATATTTTTTTAAATTTCGTAAATAAAACTTATCACCCAGGATTTTTATGTTAGTTTTGGATGTACTTTCTACCCAGAAAATATTGGTAAGTCTTTCTGAAACGCCCTGTATATAGAGAATTATATATGTAGATCAATTCTACATATACATGTCTGTAGTTTCATTCAGCAGCCTGAAATACGTTGACATACTTTCCAACATTTTGTTTGTGCTTTATGGTATCATATGTTCGTAAAAGTAGCCCAGATTGGGTGCTTTTGTTTAGAAGCTATACTAAGGACGGTGAGCACCAACCAAGAGAATTCAAAACTGAGTTAGTATGTTGTTGAAAATATATGAAATTGGCGACTTCAGGAGTCCCAAGTCCGAATCATTAGATAATATTCTTAATACTGAAGCTACATAGCTCAACTACATTCGTACACGGAATCTAATTCAACACCAGTTTCGTATATTTCCAACAAATAAAATCAGTTTTGGATACTGTCGGTTGATGCTTCCCGCCCTAAGTGATGGTAGAATGTTAGTATCCGATGATAGACAATACACTGTTGAATTCAAACTTTAAACGTAGAATTGTTTCTAATTAAATAATAGATCTGGCAAGAACCCAGTCACTAAAGTCTGATCAAAACCTCCAAGACTTTCATTTTGCATTTTTACAGACGTATCTTTTAAAATATATGCCAAAGAAAAGTTATTTGTGATAAAAATTATATTGGACTCTAGTTGTAGTCCTTTGAGACCAGAATGAAATCTGAGTCAAAGGATAGCATTTTTAGGAAATGATTATTTTAATACTTTTAATATTGTTTGAGTAATGTACATTGTCTTCAGCAAGCAAGTCTTGGATGGGGTGCATCCTAAAGCAAAATACAGATGTGTAGCTCTAATTCGATTGGTAGGAATGCAACTGGCAGTTATGGTAAACATCCAACATTATCCCCACGTCAGCAATATATCATATGACACTGTTGGAACAGGACTTTTGGGGAAAATGGTAAGACCAAAAAAACCTCTGACATTAATATTTTCTTTAATTTCCTAGTGAAGCCATCTTTTTTAATAAATGCATGGTCTCCTGAACGTTGGACAATTTGTTTATTTACGAAAATACAAATTCGACAAGGTCGAAATAATGATTTTGTGTGCTCCACTGGATTCGCTATGTATTTAAAAACATGTGTTTAAATTTTTTCAACAGTTTTATCGGAAAAAGGGCCTGGTGATTATTCACGAAGAGAATTGAATTCTTCTATTCAAGCTGGATGTTGTCATGAAGATATAGTTTTTTTGAATGTTTATACTGTCACAGAACTTGTTCGTTCTATGTCTTTGAAATGACGCAGTTTTTCAAAAATCTTCAAAGAGAGAGATAAAAAATATTCTGCTTGTGTACTATTTGTATGTATTTTTAAAGTCAATTTGTCTTTCTCAATATCTAAAAAAGTAGGCGCTGGGAATTGTTGAAAATAAATGTTGAGGTTGTCAAGGATTATACAAAAAGTGTTAACAATCTACATCGTAGGGCAATAAAGGAGGCGTAGCGATACGTCTTCAACTCCACAACACAACACTGTGTTTTGTAAACTGTCACTTAGCAGCTCATGTTGAGGAGTTCGAAAGAAGAAACCAAGATTATAAAGACATTAATGCAAGAATGAACTTCAAAAGGAGTCCGCTGGCAATAAAGGATCATGAGTAAGTTATGTCCATGTCATATTTTGCTAGTGTTTCAAACAGAACATATACTGAAAGAATCATAGGAAATTTTAAGTTTTGACTGGGGTACCACTTATTCCTACGGCATGATAAAGACTACTCTTAATACTCACAACATCTCATATGGTATTTTTTAATCATACTCAAGGTCTCACTAGTTTGAAACATAAACTATACAAGTAGCTAGATTGAGGCTACACTCCCCTGCAGTAGGTTTTGAAAAATACTGAAAAGTATGACCACACCATTTTCAGAAGTTACATTTTTAACTACCTAGTGAGTAAAAAATTAGGAAATTTCTAAAATCTTAGGTGACCGATATTTTGATTTAACTCTATGGGTTACAAGGGACACACGCCTAAGGCTCATGCATGAAGGGGGCCCCCAAATGCTGTAGAATCAAACAGAATTTTAAAAAAATGAATACGTTTCTCTCGTTCTTCCCCAATGGCAAAGTAGGGCACCAAATTTCGCTCTGCTCTGGGGCCCCTTCAGCCAGTCCCCGAGCTTTCTGTGTGTCGAACTGCCCACGGGCTACATAGCTCAAAACGGCCCTGAGTAAATACATATTTACCCAACTTACTATTATTTTCTGAGTTACAGTTTTGACCCTTATTAAAACAGGCGGTAAACTAATTTAATGTGGTACCATAACAACAATCAATCATGGATCTATATAAAATAACGTCTTCTAAAACCATCAGAGCAGTCAGCCTGCTGTTACTGCCTCAAAAATCGATAGGAAGCAAACCATAGTTTCACATTAAAATGCAATTAGTTAATATGAAAATTAATTGGCAATCCTAATACTACCATTATACCCTTGTATGTATGCATATTTGCCTCGTTACAATTTCACTGTAACTGGTTGCATATAAACATCCATAGATACTTTATGGAGAATCATAATTTTCAGAGAATTCAACATGTGTATTGTGTTGATGGAATTTCTCCGATGTACTGTAACTGTAATGAATCGCGGAGACTCCACGAATATCAGATTTCAAATTAGATATGACACGTTTTTTTATATCTCATGAAATATACACTTTTTTAGTCATTGTTCCTTCTAAAGTCATAAAATACTAATCTTCTAGTGAAATTTTTTCTTTAGGTAAAAAAACTTAGTAATTTCCAGAAACTATTAAAATTTCGAGATATTAAGATCCAAAATTACAACAAATAAATGTTTGATTCATTTTTATACACTTCTAAAATCCCTTGATTAATTTAAAAAAGGGGTGGTTTAATAAAAGTAGCAAATCATTTATTGTAGTGTAAATTTTCTCCAGCAATGTTTATCCTTTATTCAGGCAGGTTTACTGGTTGGGAGACTTAAACTACCGCATCACAGATTTGACAACAACGCAAGTGAAAACGCTTTTAGCAAGAAACGAAATGACAACACTGCTGAAAGCGGATCAACTCAATCAGCAAAAAGAACGAGGAAATGTTTTGTTGGTGAGTACCTCCTCAGCAGCTTAGAACTTAAGCAATCTAACTGATGATCCGTTAAGGAGTAATTTTTTAAAAGAAAAAATATATAAACCAAACATTATCGCATTATCTTAATTATCGCAGAAAATAATCATTTTTCACATTTATTTTTGAATATTATGGTTCAAATGTTGGCTGGTGCTGCGGTTAATGTAATTCATTATGTATCCCCAATTGTTCAATTACGTGTTAGAGCATTTCGAGTGATATTTGGCCGCCACAATAACATACGATTCGCTGTCTGAAACTGAAACCTATATATCGCGGTGGCGCTGCGCTAGTTGCAGCACAGCCTGTGAATCCATGGCTTTCCTACGACAATAATTCAGTGGGCTACTAATTTTTAATTTTCGGACCGATGAATTGACAGCCTAGAACGTGTGAGGTCACAACTCTAGACTTTTTCCTTTCGGGATGTACCCATATGAAGAATTACAAATCAGTGAAATTAAATAAAAGCATTCAAAATAATAAAAAAATATTATTAAATAAAATAATTACTTATGTTAATAACATTTTCGCATCGTAATTTAAAAGCAAATGCCTTTTTCGGTTCTTGTCTCATTTTTTGTATGCATAGATCTGTAAAAATTAACATATTCAGTACATCCTCGTTGTTGCTCTCTTGGGAATATTTTCTTGATAGGCATACTCTATAAGTCAAATGATCTGTATCTACTACTTACTCGTGAGTTTGTTAGGGAAAATCGTTAACGATAAAAAGCTACCGGGGGCGAGTCGGGAGAAGCACAGATGGTAAAATTTTGTTTTATTAAAAGTCTTATAGTTTTTGAGATTTTCAGCTTTCAGTTTTTTTTTAACTGGCTTATGTTCATATATTGTTATTTTCGGATATCTACGAAAACTGACCCTCCTCCATTATAACTGCAATAAAATTAAAAAAACAGCTGAGAGCCAATAACAATAATACCATTCAAAAATTGCGAATAGTTGGCCAAATTTTTCGACAAATTTGCACAGTGATCGTACTTGTTCGTCTCACTCTTTAGGGTGTGTAGTCGTGAGAAGGGGTTTTAATGAAAATTCAGACTTTGGCATAACTTTTATATGGGTTTTTCGCCACCCTCAAGGAAAAATAGTACTGGAAGGTGAACTGGTTGATTCTGAGTGTTTGAAAATACACCTGGTTCAAAAATGTTGATATGTCAGTTTTTAAAAAAAAATGTCACGAAAACTAGACTTTTAATAAAACAAAATTTTACCATCTAGTAGGCCATGACGTGACCTATCTACAGTTGCAGGATTATCCTTCAACTTCGGGACACCCTGTATAAATGAGAATTAAATACTGTATTTTTAAGTTAATAATGAATTATTCATCTGAATATAGACATATTACATTCATAAACATATAAATTAGTTTCCGAACCAGTTATTTGCAAAAATAATTTAAGGAAAAGAAAGTTCGTGTTTAAATCTTATAGTAATGGTATGTAAAAAGTATCCGTCTTGTAAAGTACGATTGAGAAACAGTGCGGATATATTTAATGGCGTGTTCGGCTACCGCACTCCAACACGGCCACAATATTCTGTTCGACCAAACTGAAGTCCTATCAACATCCACCCACTACTCAGCCCGAATGTGCAGAGAAGCATTTGAAATCTACTAACACAATGATAATTTCAATAGAAAAGAAGAAGGCGTTGCTTTAAACAAAACGTGGTTCCCAATTCTAAAAAACAGCGCAAAAGCCACGTCACTCAAGAGGCCCAGAGTACCCCCACCAGACAACTCAGTCCGGCGATCGCCTATAAAACCGCACGCTTATCCAGTTAACCGATCGGTTTCAGTCGACCCGCCAAGCCGAGCACTTCGCTCTCGCCGACAGCGCCACTGAAGATGGCTACCGCAGATGTAGCCGAAAGCTCTGGACCAAATCCAACTCGACCACGGCTCAACAGCCCGAAAAACCTAAATTACACACAAGTCTGGTTTTATTTTTACAAGTTATTCAAGGGAGTATTTAAAACATGGACGCATAAAATGGGTACACCAATTTTTGTGGGAAAACTTTTTATTTGACAAGAATGAGGAAACGTGATTTTTGGGATTTAATCGAAAGTGTTGATAGGAACGAAAAAACTTTTCATATAAGATTTTTAGGTATTTATGAGACCACATGTAAAAAGATTCGACTACTAACAAAAATGTTATGACCGAAAAACGAGGCAAAATGCAGGTTTTAGCACTTGTTGGTAATGCGACCATAATTTCACGCAACTACTTGGAATTCTTCAAATCCGTAGGATTCATACTTCTAAATAACAACAAAATTGGATTATACTGGTCAAGTAGTTTTTTGTGAATTTCTAACAGTTTAACCCAAAACACCTGTTTTCCGGCCATTACTACTAGCTTATTGAGGTATATACAGGGTTCGTTCAAAGAGCATTTAATAGCAAAATTCACGTGCTTACCTTGCCGATATGAATCTCAAACCATTCCGAAAGATAAATGTTATTTTTATGCTAAAACAAAGGTTACGTTTTTTCTTTCAACAAATTCAAACATTTCGTATTGTTGAGTAATTGAACAAATACGCTACGATATTCGAAGAACGTACGTTAGTATACACATTTTAAAACAAAGCGGATGTGTCTATCATCTTTTGTTGTGAATTACTCACCAATACGACATGGTTGAATTTGTTTAGAAGAAAAAACGTAACCCATCCTTTTTGCATAAAAATAACAATTATATTTCGGAATGACTTGTTATAAATACCTAAAAATCTCATATGAAGAGTTTTTTAGTTCCTGCCATCACTTTCGATTAAATCTCAAAAAACACGTTTTCTCATTCTTTGTTGTCGAAAAAAAAGATTTCCTACAAAAATTGCTGTACGCATTTTATGCGTCCTTGTTTTGAATAGCCCCTTGAACAACTTGCAGCAATAAAATCAGACTTTACAATTAATTCGCAAGCCAGGGGTATTTTCGTGTGATATGATTAGACTATTTCTACTTTGACCTCTATAGAACAAAGATAAAAATATTTGCTACGTCCCTGAAGATGCCCTGAAGTTAGTGAAGCTTTAAATAGCAAATTGTAATGTAGGAAAGGATTGCTACCTCACCACAATGTCATTTCTAGTGTATATTCATTAGGGTGTCCCAAAAAAATGAAAGTTCTTTTTTCCAAACGCATACCCTCTAATTTTGCTTGAACCATGTCAAAACAATTGTAAATAAAGTTTTATGTACTTAGGACCAGACAACCCGTACTGAGTTGCGTTGGACCGTGTCAAAACTTGCATATATTAGGCGCACGCTAGCTAACACATTGCAGTGCTCGTTTGTCCTGTTAGTAAATACACTGTTTTCGTTCAATCAACATGTCGAAGGAATTACGCAGTTCTAAAACCGAAATATTTTCAATAGGGGACGTAAAGCATCAAATTACCGGTTCAAAAATTCCCTCTAATGGACAGGTATTAGCAGTTTTGTTCTATAATATCCGGGAGGTGAAATTAAGTGTCAATCCTAGCGCCAACCTTACTATTCGTGAGTGCATTATTTACTGGGAAAACGCACGTATGCCAACTAAATCTCTACCTTGTTAAGAAACTATTTACCGTACACCAAGTTTGGAGAGAAAAAAACACAAGAAGTGTTTGAGCAACGTTGGCAAGAGTTTGTAACGAACATGGACAATCTGTTTGATATTGCGGATGTCGATGCCCTTCAATTGATGAAAATAAATGAAGATAGGATCTTCTATCTTCTTGCAGCGGCAGAGAGAGCTAAGTCGGCCTGGTCATTTAGCTGGGATGGACAGGAAATTATCCATAAAAGAAGAAAAGGCGCGTCTTAGGAGCACCGAAGAACAAAAGCGGCGAGCTAAAAATATGTTGCTTCCGTAGCTCCTTCGACATCAGCTTACGAACCAGTGCAAGAAAATTCATCTCTAGATTCCGAGACAGGTTTACAAGACACTTTGCCCATCCTAACTCAGAGCATACAGTCCGATACTAATCAAACTCAAAGTTTCATAACTTCAAAATTAATGGCAGCATTAGACCAGTCAGTTAAGTATCAGAAGAGCCACAATAGACCAAAGGTCGCAGTGGAGGATCGTTATTGATGAACTCACAGTAAACCTAACCTAAGTATGACAAATGCTGTTTTTATTATTGAAGCACCCATTGATGCTCTTGGGCATACTGACGAGTTTCCTATAAGCAATCCCTCCATTCAAAGAATTCATACTGAAAAGCGAAAGGAGCGCGCAGAAGCTATAAAGCTTGATTTCTAAAGCGAGGTACCGGATATTGTAACTCTCCAGTGAAATGGCAAATTGTTGTCACCTTTAAATGCACGCAAGTCTAAAGAAGAACGTCTACCGATTGTTGTAATGTATGAAAATGAAGAGCAACTTATCGCTGTGCCCAAATGGGATAACTCTTCAGGCAGTGAACAGGCTCAGGCAGGTTGGGATGCTATTGTTGACTGGAATCTTGAAGATAAAGTTCAGGTTATCTGTGGTGATACTACTGCTTAAAATACGGGTTGCATTAATCTGTCTGCGTGCTTCTTGAGCAGAGACATAAAAAATAAATGCTTATTTTTGCTTGCCGCCACCACGTCTACGTGTTAAAAGGTGTGTTTGAATCAAAGATCGGCCAAGTGACTACAAGCGGTGAAAAAAAAAGTTTGCGAGAGCTGAAAAAGTGTGGGTCCCGAGAAAAAACAAATTTATACTGAAAAGCTATCATGTCTGAATATTTCAAAGACTGACAAGCTGCTAGAATTTTATTGGCATGAATTGACCAAAGAAGTTGTTAGAGACAACTATCGAGAATTAATAGAACTTTCAATAATATTCCTTGACGGAGGTACAGAGAAAAAATTAAGATTCGACCGGATGTTCAGAGCAATATATCCATTGAAAATAGCGTTACTAAGTTCCCAGCTCAATTTTTTTAATAAGGATAAGGCAACTAACTCTATTAGATATCAGCCTGTTAATCATGACAACATACGTGAAACCGTGGTTGCAATGCACTTGAGCGATAAAAGCACCTAACCAGGATTTATGCTTTTTAAAGGCAATGAAGGCTTACGAAATAATTAGCAACAACATTTCAAAAGCAGCTTTACAAAAGTTCTGCCAACATTTATGGTATTCAATAGATGAGGTATCTGTCTTATCTCGGTTTGACGACGATGTAGATGAGGTAACTGAAGTAAAAATTGTTGCTAATTTAGCCAAAAAAAGTCAATCAGCCCACGGTTACTTTGGCAACGGCTGTCTTACAAATACATTTTCTTTTTCCTTCTTTTGCTGCTTCGATATAATATGCTAACTGTTATAAGCCAGCATAAACAGCGATTCTGGCAATAGATACCTTATAATGTCTTATTTCGATAGATCTTGCACCTCAGGTAGAGGTTATTTGCTAAGCTTTCTTTCGTGTGTGGTCGGACGGACAAAACCAGTATGTTTAGATGGTAGCTATTCTTCGTTTTTTCTCTTCAGAGAAAAATATCGATGACTTTGTTTCCATCAACATCAAGTCCTTGTTCAGTCGACTCAAAATTGATGACAGCTCGACGAGTATTCAACTTCATGGCCACATAATGATGCTTTTCAACACGCTAATAATAAGGTGAAAACACAGAGCAATTAACGATACGCCAGAATGAGCAGTCAAGTTAATGCAAGACATACATGGCCTAATCACTGCTGATGAGGAACAAAAACAATGTTTATTACGTTGCGTACAAGAACACAGGCAACCTACCTGTAAAAAGACAACTTTGAGAAGAAAATTTAGTAAATAATGCTTTTTTAATGATAAATACTTGAAAAATATAAGATAAAAATAAATCAGTGTTTTATTTGCCGAAAAAAAACTAGGTTTTGCAATCCATACATGGTTTCCCTAATAACTTTCAAATTCAAAGTTTGACCGAAAGTCGTTCCCCGATCGCGATAATACTGTATTTTTTGAGTTGCTAGAGTCAAATCGAAAAAATTAAAGGGTATGCGTATCTCAATTCGAACAAAAATGTTTGCACTCATTGGTTGGGACACCCTAATGTTCATGTTCTACCCACAATCAATTACATCAGTGCAGTGGCGTAAAAAGTTTCAACGCCCGGTATCTCGTCAAGAAAATATTTTAGAACCTATAGCTATAGGAACTTTTCATGTTATTTTCAGCGTACTCCCAGCTCTAAATATGATGCCTCTGTTTTTTGAATCGCCATATAAACAGAGTTGCATAAAATGCGTGGTAAGCTGCCACCTACGAGTGATATGAACGTTTTATCTCAATGTTTACGTTCGGTTGGCGCGACGAGACCTGCAGGTTGTAAGCGATTTGCGCTTTCTTATCGGATGAATCATCGCTCATCGCAATTTATTTATTCAAATTATTTCAGTTGCAACAATGTGATTGTTAACAAGTCGTCCATACAATAGCGCGAGTTGATACAAACTGCATTAGAATTGTTTATGCATCTGATCGCATTGTAATTTTAGGACTACACGGAAGCTGATATAAAATTTCCTCCGACGTACAAGTATGATTTGAACTCTGATACTTTTGATACCAGTGAAAAAGCCAGACCACCTGCTTGGACAGATAGGATATTGTGGAGGGGGAAAGGTCAGTGTGATTTATTTTGAAACCTATTTTTTAGCTTCTCTAACGTTTAGGAAATGTAGCATCACACTGCGCACACAAATATTTTCTACAGAGTACCTATGGAGATTATTAATCAATAATAAATGAGGATCTGAAAAACGGATTATTAATATTTCGTTCATCTTCAGCTAATATTGGTTGACAGTGTATATTTTGCATCCTAAAACCTAAATTTGTCTGGGTTGTTCTCTGCTGAGACGGGAACAGAATGTCACGGCCGCCGATCGAGTCGAAAGATGATTACCATAGCGCTGATACTGAAAATCTTTCGCTATCAATGTAAAATATTCAAATCCAAATTATGAATGGAAAAGCAAAAGGATGCACAATGAGTATGCGAAAATCAAAAGTTCACCTCAAGGTAGGAACCAAGCAAGGTGAAAAATTGCTTAGAAATGTTAAACCTAAAATACTCTTAGGGGTCTAGTAGGTAAACGTTCGAACTTTGATTTACGGACTTGGCAAACTCAAAAATAATTTTTAACCGTGACATTGAATTGCTTATAATTCGTAAACCATACTACTTACCAAGATCCTTTTTTGTTCAGTTTAATCAGAAAAACCTGAAAAAAACTGTCCGGAGCGAGAAACCTCTTTTGTAACTCGTTGAAAAATGTTTTAGCAAAATTGCACCAGGTTATCGCCCGGTAACCTCTTGACTCATGGGACATCCATTAAATGTGATTAAGAAATCAAATCATATTGAAAATTTTCTCCCACAAATGCGAGGTCCATTAGGGGTGTATCTCCCTGTTCGAATCGCTCAAAGAGCGGCGGAGGTGCTGTTAGCGGAAAACGAAGTTCTTTGTAGCGTAATTTCCAGTTTATAATATTCAAAACAGTCATCGTCTACTTCTAGTAATTTACCGGACCCTTGAATGGCAAAGTATTTTCTCCAATTTCAGTATGCACCCAAGTTTTGTTATTGTTCTAAAGTATTTTTCAGGTTTTTCGAATGACTCTGAACAAAAACGTTATTTAGTAAGTTTTCCCTAAAGTTGAGCTTCCTCGAGTTATTGCAATTGAATGTCTGAAAAAAACTATGGGCATTTTCAATGCTTGTTAACTCGGAGAAAAATTATTATTCTCAAGTTGGCATAGGAGTTGACGACCAAACCCCTAGCAGAACCTGAGTGTTTGAGGCCTAGTTTATTTTGAAGTAATTTCTAATTACGCTTGGTAGGTTAACAGCGACGAACTTTTGATTTTCGCAGACTGTACTTATTGCTCAACATATTTATAAATCTGAATTTTTCACAGTAAAATTCTGATTTTCTGTATGACTGCTACGCCTCTTCTCGTGTTTCGGTCTCACACTTGGCCGCCGAGTCGTTTCTTGTCTCTGTCTGCGCACGGCAGGGCTGTTATGTAAAAAACCTATTTAATGTAGAAAAAACTACAAAATGTCTACTTGCTGACTAGATAGCTGCTAGTATACGCAATCTAGTGCATAAATAAGTCATTCCCTGTATTGCTCGCTGTGAGCGTCACCCATAGTGTCACCTGTTAAGGAATGACTCATGATGATGACCATGCTGCGAGTCAGTTCGCCAGCATACTTTGTTGTCTACTGCCGAGATAGTCTGTGCCTATATAGTATTTATCGCTGAGAAGTGAGAAGGTGTGAAATAAAGAAAATTGGTTGAGTCACAGAGTAGCAAGATCGCACTTGGATGATTGTATGTATTGATCTGCATGTGTATAAAATCAGTGACATTTACTATGTGAGAAAATTATTACTGAATATGCTGCCCATAAAGTATATTTATTAGCTGTGTCAGACGGGTCATTATGTGTTGTCATTTCTGAAGAGAGGTATGTTCAAAGTTATATCTAAAGCTTTATTTTAAAAAATAGCTTCAGCAAAAAAGAATTTAAACAGAAAATAATAAGTGCAGGAAATGAAACCAAGGAGGCATGGAAGGTCGTAAATGAATTACGAGGCATTATTTTCCTATTATATATATATATATATCAATGTATCGTCCGCAAATATTTGAATTTTGCAGTATTCTAAAATCTTCGAAATATATCCATAAGTGATCACTTATCTTTGGGGTATGCTTAACGTCAGCAATTAGATTTTGTTCATTAGTTATGAGCAAATGCACTTTTGTTTTCGAAAATTTATATTGAAGTCTCCTAAATGTACAATTCCTGTAATAATGTTTTTCACATATACTTTCAAAAAATTCAATAAATCAATTGTCGCTTCCACTTGGAGATCGGTAGTAAATATACAGATTGTAATTTTTTGTAGCCTTATTTCCAGATTGATGTACCACCACTAATATTCAACAACTTCAGTGTTCCGTACTTTGACTTCAATGCTAAATAGTGTATATATCAATATACCACCTGTATACTTCAAAACAGAGTGTACTCTTACTACTTGATAGCAGTTACTTTGCCTTATTTGAAAGTAGATTGAGATATAGCATTCCCTTTTGGTGTGTCTGTTCCCAAAATTGTTTAAGAAAGGTGCTTATTCTACAAAAACGAACTACTAGATATACAATGTGTCACGACATACCGATTTTGAAGGGAGGTATTTTTTAGCTATTTTTATCGACAAATCCACCCCCCTGCAATGTCCTACCTCACCCCCCTTGAAATGGCAGCAATTTTTATTTTTACGTTACGATTACGCTAGTGCGTGTATGAAAAGTGTAATAACTGAGAACATAAGAGTCACAGAATGATAAATTTGGTGTCATTTGAACGATAACATGTTGTTCTAGCAATTATTAAAAAACTTGTATTGATACTAACCGTCAAACGTACTTAAAAACGGACAATAACAGAAAAAAATGTGCAAGAAAATTGATTATTTTGTGCATTTCCGCACATCATTCAAAAACTAGTTTGTGAAGTTGTACTTTTGTTGTGCTAATTCTACAGCTAACTATACTAAGTGACATATAAATCCGAACACCCAGTTTAAATGGTTTTATTTTAATAAAATTTTGTATAAGTACTTAATGAAGCATAATAAGTAAATGATAAAAATTTCAAAATGATTGCACTGCTTTAAAGCCCTTTGACCTTTAATAACGTATGGATGCACCCTGATGTGCTACGCATTCTCCAACGCGCCTAGGCATGCTTCTGATCAGGTGGTCAATGTCCTCCTGTGGTATCTCATTCCAGGCAACCACCAACTCCTCTCGAAGTGCTTCTAGAGTCTGAGGAGGACGTTGCAAATTGAGCAATCTCCTACCCATCATATCCCACACGTGCTCAATTGGAAAGTTGGATCTGCCAGGGTGTCAAGATAGGGTAAAAGATGGGGTTCTAGAACTTCGTGGATATAACGCTGCGCGTTCATGTTACCTCTGATGAAGATTAAAGGTGACCTGGAACCATAAGCTATAGCACCCCCAAACCGTGTGATGAACATGTCTTTCAACAAAAAACTGTGGATTCTTCCTTTCACCACGTTGCCTTCTAACCCTGGCACGACCATCGTGCATGCCTAAACAAAATCGAGACTCGTCACTAAAGACAATACTGTTCCATTCCTGATCCCAGAGTGACCGTTGTCTGCACCACTCAAGGCGATTACGTCGGTGTTCTCGAGTTAAAGGGAGGACCCAGTGTGGCCGGTATGAAAACAAGCCAAAACTTCTCATTCGTCGGTAAACACTTCGCATGCCAATAGGTCTTCCGTGTTCTGCAAACCATTCATTTGCAATGGACCTGGTAGTGGAGAAACGGTCCCTTAAGGCCAATAATCTTAGGCGGCGATCTTCACGGTCTGTTGTTCTACGGCGGCGTCCAGTGCCCCTTGGTCTTTGCGTACGGCCTTCTCGAAGCCATGCCTGACAACACCTAACCACAGTGTCTACACTTCTTTGCACTCTAACTGCAATTGCCCGAAAAGAAAGTCCAGCTTCCCGAAGTCCCACTATACGGCCCCTATCAAACTCACTAAGTTGACGAAATCGTACAGGTCTCTGTACTCTAGGCATCGTAACCGATCGTAAAGGATGTCAAGAACCAAAATCCGTCAACGTTGATTCTTTACTGCGGCTGAAATATTCATTTTTAGAGCGTTAGTGAATTAAAAAAAAAAGCAATATAAATACGGAATGTCCAACTGATAAGGCTGAAAATTTTTTCACTTGTTATTTACAGTAAGATAAATACATTCACCAACTGTTATTAAAATAAAACCATTTAAACTGGGTGTTCGGATTTATATGTCACTTGGTATATGTTATCTACAAAATGACACCAAATTTCTTCTACGTTAAGTAATAAATGCTATCTACCATGGGTCAAAGTATACGTAAAAATGACAAATCAAAGTTTCTTTTAAATAGTTTGGACATGTTTAATGTTACAGAAGCTGTTTAAAATGCCCTCCATTATTGGTTATGCACATTGTAGTTCTAAAAACAATGTGTCGTGTTGAGCAGCGGGTCATATCCGTGACAGCTCTAATTTCGTTCGCAGCGGTATGGATCCTTTCCACGAGCTCTTCCCGTGTCGTCGACACATGACAGTAGACTTTTTGCTTCATTGTGTCCCAGAAAAAATAATCTAGGGGCGTTAAATCGGGTGATCGCGGTGGCCAAGCGACAGTGCCTCCACGTCCTATCCATGGAGAATGTTGCCTATCCAAATGTTCTAGCGCAAAAGCGTGTGGGAGCTCCAACCATATGTTGCGGCGGTTGATAAGTGGCGTAGATCTGAAAACTCGGTACTCAAGAAGTCAAAAAATCCCTGGCCATCTAACCTTGGAGGTAGCTCAACTGGGCCGACTAAAACTTCGTCGATCATTCGGGCCCACATGTTTACATCAAATTCCTGTTGGAAAGTGCTCAGTCGAACTGCGTGAGCGGTTTCCGAAGACCTCAAGTGGTCGTTTCTGTGGTTTATGATCCCCTGTCTCGTAAATTTTGCTTCATCCGTCCATAGAATTTGTTGTGACATTGAACTATTTATAAGAAACTTTGATTTGTCATTTTTATGTATACTTTGACCCATGTTAGATAGCATTTATTACTTAACGTACAAGATTTAGGATAACAATTTGGTGTCATTTTGTAGATAACATAGTTAGCTGTAGAATTAGCATAAAAAAGTACAACTTCACAAACTAGTTTTTGAATGCTGTGCGGAAATGCACAAAATAATCAATTTTCTTGCATATTTTTTTCAGTTTTTGTCTGTTTTTAAGTATATTTGACGGTTAGTATCAATACAAGTTTTTCAACAATCGCTAGAACAACATGCTATTGTTCAATTGACACCAAATTTATCGTTCTGTGACACTTATGTACTCAGTTATTACAATTTTCATACGTGCACTAACGTAATCGTAACATAAAAATAGAAATGGATGCCATTTCAAGAGGGGTGAGGTAGTAACATTGTAGGGGTTGGATTTGTCGATAAAAACAGCTGAAAAAAAAACCCTTAAATATCGGTATGTCGTGACCAAACACATTGTATAACTAAAAGCAATCGTAGAGTTACATGCAAGCCTTTATTTGTAAATCTTGAAATAATGACTGTTATATCGTTGGTCATTTTAGAAACAGAAACTCTTATTTTTTAAATAAATCTAAATTTGAAACATTCATTATAAGTTACAATAATAGAAGAACAAGAAGAAACAACACTTGTGAAAGACTCAATAATTTATAATGGCCTGAAAATTTACATGTGTCCCCCTGATGCTATCAAAGGAATTAACAATTTAAAGATATTCCACCATGAACGTAAAAACTTTTTGATATGTAAATGGATGAGTTCCACAATCCACCTACTTAAGATCCACTTATATAATTATATTATAGTTTAGTTCTAAGTTAGCTTTGTCATTAAGAATGATTATATATCTATCTATCATAGAAAAATTAGGAATGACGCATCACGTACAAAATATTTTCGCTGTGCCTCACATCTAGGCGCTGATTTGTATTTTTTTGCTTGACATCGCAAAATAAATTTCTATAAAATTTAAATGACTGGAAATAAAAAATAATGTATAATGTAATAACCTTTTCACGTTTCATAGATATTTCTGTCTGTTGCCTATTCTCTCACCTGTTGTAAAATACTTCACCAACCAGTGATTTTTTTTAATCACTCGCATTTTTAAAATTCAACCAATTTGCATATTTAATTTCCAAGATGAATAAAAAAAGTGGATGCGCAACTAATTTCTACATGTGTATTGGAGACAAAAAGGGAAGTATCATCAACACAGATTATTAACACACATATCCTCACTAAGCACCTATGCACTGCCGTATCCTTCCAGTATATAACTCACAGCTTAGACCTAGCATAATGGCATCTCTGAAGCAGATGTTACATCACATCAGAGCCAAACTATGATAGGTCAAGCATCACAATGTTTAGGTAACATGTACATCTACACAATGAGTACACATCAAGTGAACAAGTTGACATCTTATAGAAAAGTCACATAATGTCACAAAATAACTATATAATGTCAAAAAACCGGCATAATGTCACTTTTCAAGACACGTAATTCCATTCCAGACTGTCAAATTTATATGCATCCAAAGAAGCATAATTGTTAAAATGGTTTTCTGTATACTTAAATTAAACTTGTGGGGCGAGACTCTCGTTGATTCATAGCTTAACAATCTGAAAATAATATTTTTGTTTTACAGGAATTCACCTAGTAGGCTATAGAAGTCACATGGAATTAAAAATAAGTGATCACAAACCAGTTAGCGCTATCTTCAAGTCAGAAATCAGTGTTGTTGACCAATCCAAATTTCGAAAAATCCACGAAGATCTGCTCAAGAAAATGGATAAGCACGAAAATGAATATTTACCACACGTCACCATCGATCAGATGGAAATCATTTACGATTTAGTTAAATTCCGCGAACCACAAACCAGGGAAATTACAATTGCAAATACAGGAATGGTACTTATCTAAACCTTCGACAATCTACCAACTAGTCAAATAAAATAAGTTTTATTCATAATAACATTGATTCCTTATTTTGACAAGCATTAAGAATTGTCTTAGAAGTCAGATACTAAGTGATACTTATTATGATGATTTAGGTACCTGCAGAGTTCGAATTTATCAAAAAGTTGGAAGAAACCAGCTACTGCAAGGAGTGGTTACGAATAATTCCATATTGTGGCAATATTAATCCAGGTTAGATTTATTATTTTTATTCCCATGCCACTCTTACATGACGTGTGCATCACAGAAAGCCATCTCACTCCTGTCCATTTTATGAAACATTGCATTATCAATGCATGGTGGAGTATTGTGTCAATCTATTTGACTCATTTTTACCAGACTGCCACAGAAGGAGGGTAATGACTTTCGCGCGTGTGTATGTATGTGGACGATAATAATTCTACGTCACAAGCTACGGTCTCAACGGTTTGATGAATTAGCAGCACGAGTGGCAATATTAAAATTTAACAAAAACAAAATGGCGAATTTCAATCGAAAATTTCAGCATTTTAATTTCTATATCACATATATAATAGACGTTATGGATTTTGACATATGAGGTGTCTCTACATTTGTTCTGACAGTGTGATTGACACTGGGTAGACAAAATTTTATAAAGTCAAAATGGTTGGTTTTAATTGGAAATTTCCTTTGCACTTCTTACAGCTTAAATGCCGTGATGGATTTTGACATACAAGGTGTCTCTAGATTTGTTTTGTTAAATCAAATGCAAACTTTCTGTTTTAGATGCTACAGGTCTAATGGCTTGATCACACAATTAAGACTTCATTCTTTTTAGTTCCTGCAGTCAGGTTGTAGTATTTTCAAAAAATGCACTAGTTTTGCCACAAATTTACGATAACATTTTAATAACGTTTCGATTTGCAGGTGATAAATGTGATGTGAAGTTGATAGTAAATCTTGAAAGTGATTTAGACAAGATATATGATATACTGGTTCTACATTTGAAAGGTGGAAAAGATATGTTTATTACTGTCAGTGGAGAATGTCTAAAATCTAGCTTTACATTACCTATGTCCCTTTTATCTAGGATAAATATGCCTATATTGAGGTTATCAAAGGAGCAGCTTGTACAAGCGGTAAGAATTTATGATTTGCACATATTTATACGAGGGTCGTTTCAAAAATAATGTTCCCTACGCTGTAAATTTGCCGCCCGTGACGCTAGGCGAAATCTGGCAACACCGTCGTGGTTATGGGCTCCCCCACCACAGACCCCAACAAGAAACGCCTATTGACGTTACCACCCATAGAAATTCATCGCCAGTTGAGTGAAATATATGGAAAACGTGAATAATCATTCAACACGTCTTCAAATGGTGAAGAGTGTTCTTTAACCGCCGCATGGACATCCACGGTGAACAACGAAGCGAGAGGCCGTTGATCTCCGTGAAAGTTATTGCGAAGATTGAGCAAATCTTGCTCGAACATCTGCGAATCACGATCCAGAAATAGGCAGTTGAAATTCCTGAAGCTGAGACGGGCAATCCAAAATCGTCGTAGGGGAAAACTGTCAAAAGCGCAAGACTGCACCACGAAAATGCGCATCCTCATGTCTCACAACAAACAAAGGACTGAATCGAGCGATTCGACTGGGAAGTCATTGCACATCCCCCTTAGAGCCCTGACATAGCACATAGGCCGTCAACGGTTCTGACGGACGAGGAGTTGCAAGGAGCAGTTATCAAGTTTCCAAGCGGGCTGACGGCGGACTTCCTTGAGGCAGGAGTGAAAAAGTGGATACCACGTCTGAAGAATGCGTAAAAAAAATGCCGACTATATAGAAAAATAGCTTAAAGATCAACGCGTCCAATGGAAAATTCATTTATTCGCATAAAAAATTACTTGTGCCCGGAAAAATGTGGGAACCCTATCTTTGAGACAACCCTTGTATATATTCAGGAATTATCTTCCATGAACAGGCTAATTTAAAAGTTTTTCTGTATACAGTAACAGGCAGATTATATAGAGTTTGCTTATGACTTTGTTACTTGTTTAATTTTATTCTATGTAATAATAATATACAGCAACATAAATTCAACAAATATCTCAAACCAAGCTCAAAAAAATTGCAAGGTACCTTTACAAATTTCAAACTAAAAAATCGTTTAGTTTTTGTTGAAATATTTTTACAAGCATACAGAAAATATCTGTTTTAGGTCATTATAAGACATTAGTTTCATTTTTAGGAAAAAGGCAATGTACTGTATTCTGTGCCACGCGAAATATGGCTTCTCATCGATCATCTGTATAGACACGGTTTGAAAACACGAGAACTTTTTGAATCCAGTGCTCTACACGAAGAACTGATCAAAATACGTGATTGGCTAGATAATGGATCACTTGATCCTATACGTATCCTTTTATTCTACATTTTGATTATTCATAGAGTCATCTAACTCCATAGCTCACAGCTACAAAAGAAGTTTATGCCAATATTTCGTAATAAGAGAAGGCGTCAATCTAAGTGTGCTTATGAGTAACGCCTGCCGCAAATACGTTCAGTAGTGCAGTCGCAATTTAAAGGTATTTTTGTACAAAATATTACCGACCCATATCAACCAAAATATACCTGTTAATAATGTCATCAATTTAATCACATTGCCACTTCACGTCTTGATATCCAAGCGTACTTACTTAGGTAGAGGACATCTTGATGGCTAACAATACACAACCAAATTTGAATAGATTAAAAGTGGTTAAGCCTATTTCTAAGCCTAAAATTACGTAGATGTAGTAAGGACTTTGAGGTAAACTTTCCTAACAATGCATACCAAAATGTCATTGTTTTTTTTTTCTAAGAGATATTCAAGTAGGCAATTGCACTAGGTGTAATCTCGTACCACAGGGCAGAAATATAATCTATATTAAGATAGAAAAGATAGCAAACATTTATTAACTGTACAGTGTATCAACAAGTCCGGTTTAATACCTAATTTTGGAATGTTAAATTACGAATTGTCTTCATCAAACAGTAAGGCTGCTGCCCCATTAGTGCGTTGCGTTGCGCTGCGTCGTCGCAGCGTCAACGCTTGCGTCGTTTTCCATGTATTTTAGATGGTATGCCACATTAGAGCGCTGCGTCGTCGCTCGCGACGTTTCAACGGATTGCGCTGCGATGTCGGAGCTTCAGTGCGACGACGGACAGTTGTGACGGACAGTGTTGCACTGCCAGAGGAGTGAAGGAGACATACGAACACGATATTTTCGTATCTCAGCATGAGTGTGGAGGAGATTGATATAGATTTTCTCATCTCCTTGGTGCAAGAAAGGCCGATCATATGGGATAAAGGCCATGAACATTACAATGATAAATTTCGGAAAGCAAATGAATGGGTTTCAGTGTGTAAACATTTATATGCAGATTACGAAGAATTTGATGATACAAAAAAGAACAAAATTGGTGAGCTAAGTATATGTTATAGTTATAAGTTAATACGTATTAAATATTGATTTATATCTTCTTCAACTGCCATGGTAAAGTCCCCACGGAACTCATAAAATAATTAGCAAACTGATCTCTGATAAAATTTTCAGCTAAAGATTCTGCATCGATATGGGGTTGCAATTGTGGGAAGTTATTTATTGTCATCTTTTCTTGTTGCCGTAAACCATCGTGTTCTGTGACAAAATTGTGTAAAACGCAGCATGCTTTCACAATATCAGTAGTTAAATCATATGCTGTGTCAAGTGGTCTATGTAAAATACGCCATTTATTTGCCATGATCCCAAAAGCACATTCTACATATCTACGAGCTCTGCTAAGGCGATAATTATAAACTCTTTGTTTCACATTGAGTTTTTGGCCGCCGTATGGACGCATAACATGATTACTCAAACTAAAAGCTTCATCACCGACGAGTACATATGGGATTGGTGGCTCGTTACCATGATCATTTACAAGTGGTTGAGGATCAGGCAATGGTAGTTCATTTCTCGTTAAAATCTGATATAGTTTCGAATTTCTAAAAATAGTCGAATCACTTTCCTTTCCATATGCACCCACGTCGACAAAAACAAATTTATAGTTGGAATCTACAACCGCCAGTAAAACAATTGAAAAAAAATGTTTATAATTATAAAACAGGGACCCACTCTTGACAGGTTTCATTAAACGTATATGCTTCCCATCAATTGCCCCAAAGCAATGAGGAAAGTTAGCTTTACGGTCAAAATCTGATGCAATATTTTGTAGTTTCTCTATGGTGATGTCTTCTATGTACTGTGGCCTGAGATATTTCCATATAGCTTGACAAACTGACGATATAGCTCTAGAGATTGTTGACCTTCCACGTTTAAATTTGAAACGCAAATCCTTCATCGAATTTCCGGTGCCCAAGTACCTGAAATAGAAACAAAAAAATTATCTTGCTTAGACATTATTTTCTTTCCTTGCAGGCAACGAGGTGGTAAAAAAATGGAGAAGTGTAAAAGACAACTTCACTCGATATGTAAAAAAATTAAAAGAAAATAATTCATCTGGATCAGCGGCGAAAAAAATAAAAAAATATCATTATTATAATCAGTTGCTTTTTTTAATGAAAGTTGCCCAAAATATAACTGATAGTAGCCTTGATAAAGAAACAGAACAAAACGAAAACACACCATCTCCACTTCCGACACAAGGAGTGCCATCGCTACCAGGCCCTTCTCGCTATGTGCCTGCAAATCGGAAGAGATCAAACCAAGCAATAGATGATTTCGAGGCGCAAGCGTTAGAGGCGTTGCAAGAAAAAGAAAACCGCCATTTGTCGTTTTTCAAAGGAATTCTGCCTTCTTTAGCTGATTTTACTGAATTACAAACATTAACATTTCAAAGTGGAGTGATCAAAATGATTACCGAAATGAGGTTTGGGGAACAGAGTCAATCAACAACATGGCAGTCACGCAGATTGCCAACTGGGCAGCAGTATATATCAACACCATCGGAGTCAAGTGGATATCAAACTGGATTACAGGTCCAACCGCTACCACCATCGCCATCGGGGTATCAAACAGCTGAATACTCATCGAACACTACATTTAGTAACTTTACCGATGATAGCCAGGAAGAAGAATATAACTTCGCTTTACTCTCTAATAATAATACTTAAGCTTATTTGTGCGAAAAATGCCTCTTAGTTAAAAGTAAAGCATAACTGATTTTCTGATTAATATGTTTTTTAATACTTACCTCAATGTAACACCAATCATTTCAATTGGTTCTATAGGTCTTCTGAACTTGGTATATTGCTTTTTCAAATGTGGTTCCAAGATTTTCACCAAATATTGAAAGCTAGCCACACTCATTCTAAAAAAATCGAAAAATTCTTCCTCTTCCGACAATAATTCATTATACTCCCGCATAAAAAACTGACCGTCACTATTTCTTAATGCAATCAAAGGAGATACCCACATTCTTTTATTATTTCTACGTTTCTTCCGGCGGTGGCGTAATAAAAGCAACAATAGAACACCTTTATTCCGATCCATTTTGGAAACTAACTGAGGTGCGTGGCATCGGTGGAGGTGCCAGCGTCGTCCTATTGCGCTGCGATGTCGTGCGTTGTCACAATGCAGATGGGGCATACAATGCGATGATCCGCTGCGACGACGCAACGCAACGCACTAATGGGGCAGCAGCCTAACAATGACAGAGTACCGGAAATTGGAAATAGCAGGGCACCTAGCTTGAACTTCACTCTATCCTTCTAAATAGCTATGTTGTGTGTGATCCGAGCAGGTTTTGGCTGAATACGATATGCCAGTTGCTGTTCTGATCTCATTGTAACTATATTATCCTTGACAGAATCTAAAATGAGAAATCTTAAAATTACATTTTAATAGTTTGTTCGCAGAGCCTGTTGGCTGACAGTCAGAAAACTGATAGTCGGCGAGAAGTCATGACCTAATTTATTCAGTTAGCTGTCACTAACACGTCACTAACTCCATAGATTGCGTACAATGAGAACGTTACGAGTTGACTGAGTGAGCTTGGACCGATTATTGACAACTGATCCATTGTTCGTACAGAAACTTCTGACTGTTTGATGACTATCAAATTAGTCAGCATATTATTGTCCAGTAAATTGTCGGAGCCCGAAATCAAGTACAATCATTAGTCGAATGTAACATCTTTCGGCGTGAGGTAAACAGTTTTGAAAAAGTTCGGGTATTTCAATTTTCTGTAAACCAGAATGATCTAGGATTTATCGTCCAATTGCTCGGAAGTGCTTGAATTTTCCTTTAGAGGGGAGAACCAGGAACACTTTCTAGAAAAATAACACCACCAAAAAATGTCAACATGTCCACACATCGAATGACACGTTGAAGAAGCAAAAAGTAAGAATTCTGAATAAACGTCTGCATGAAAAATGTATTGTAAATATGCTTTTATAAAACTATAATAGGAGGGTTTTTGTTCCCTAACAGTTGTCTCCCAGTCTTGAAGCATATACACCAACAGTATGTATATTCTAGCTCCAGTCCAACCCAATGCTGATCGAAAAAAACGAAATAACTAATTTTGAAGATTTTGTGATATAGCTATTTTCAGGCTGTCAAATTTGAGCATTTTCGTATATTATACTACTCGCAAATACAAAGATATTTTCTCAAACTGTCCGCCTATTTAACAATGACTGGCTGGGGTGAAAACTATTTCCCTATATGTGCCGGCTCTCACTGAAAGAAATAAGTAAAAATACTACAAGGATTCAATAACGTCTTTGAATAACAAAGACTAAAAAGCTAAAACGGCTGAGCATAATTATAATTGCCAAGATCTGCTTAAAAACCTATAAATTTCAGAGTCCCCAACATGGTAAAAGAAATGAGACTACAATACAAAAACTCATCAAGGGAAAATCGTACGTCAAGTCACGTTTTCTCCCTTGAGACATACTACAAGCAGAAATACGGATAAATATAAATATCTGAGATGGCAAAGTTGATAATCATGACTACTAGCAACACTGATATGAACAAAGTAATCGCGTAATTCCGCATTTTGTAACTGTAACCAAAATTTTGGAACGATTAGTGTTTACAAAAAAATAGTATTAATTATGGTTCTTGAAAGTTCTGTCCTCAGAATCTAGGAATTGCCTTTCTGCCATTACAGGGCCAATAAACAAAAAATTGAGCACGAATCACTTTGATTTGATTTGAGATTGCATCAAATATGAATACATATATTTTGAAAACGGATAATTTTATATTAGACCTTATAGTCCTATAAAAAACTTGAGTGGGGGCAACTTATAGCCATATATACGTATAATTGACTTAACAGCGCCATCACTATGCTCTGCCACCTCACAGCTCTGGTGAATGAATATTGAGGTAATTATTATCACACCAACCTAAATAGAGTAGCATCCTTTTCTATTAATATATGATAACGGATCATCATCTGGTTTCAATCTTTATATGGGCTCCAAGGAAATCTATTTTTTATTATAGAAATATTGCTTTGTCCTATATCTTTCTTCTTCTGCTATCAAAAAGTTGGTCAGGGTACCCACGGAAACATTGAACCTATCAGCTACATCCCTGAAGTTGGCTGTTTGACATCCAGCAAACCTTAAAAGTATACAGGTTTTTTATACGGACTTGTTTTCCATACGGCGCCTCATATTAAAAATGGTTACTACCTCGGAATTTCACTGAATTTTTTTCTGCGACTGTCTTGCTCACTCGAAAATGTTACAAAAACTCGTTGATGTTGAACTGTGGCACTGTTTCCTCCACAAAATTTAGGTTTTTGTGTTTCATTCTCTCTTCCGAAGAAAATTCGGACATTCCCGCGTGTTCGCTGCTTATTATATCGCTCATAGTTTTTTAACTCCGAAGCAGCCGCGCAGGCAAAGCCTAAATGCCAGGACAGCGGGACTACTATGCGGAGCTCAAAGAAACTTTGTTAATCCGATTTTTAAACTGCCTAAGATTGGTAGAACTGGCAAAAGCCCCCTCCCCCCACAATCTCGATACGCTAGCGATATAGGAGCGGTCGTATCGGTCACTTCTGGATGTACGAAGTTCGACACCTTTGGGATGGGAGGCCGAAGTCTATCTGACACACCATCGCGTGGCGGCATTATCGAGGCGAGCTTTTAGGAGCAAAGCTTTTTGATTAGCGCTAGATGGGAGCTAGTTCGCCGACGGCCCACCAGTGCGGAAATGTCCCTAGACTGTCCGTTAGAGAAAAGTCATTGATCAGTAAATGACTTTTGCGAAGCAATATTAGGCCTCAATATAGTTTCGACTCATTCTGATAGCTGTCACTGTCTGTGATTGACCGGCGTTCTCTAAACTGTCAGAAGGTCCAGTACGAACAGCGGACTAGGTGTCGGCAAACAGTAAATACATTTCCTAAGGCTTTTAGATTCAAAGTAAAAGTAGATAAGATTCAAAGTTAAAGTTCCAGTAGATCCTTTTGAGTATTCATAATAAATTTCTGATGTGTGTCCAATGATTTGCAATTTTCATTATTCTGTTAGGCGTTAGATTTTGCTAGTAAATCTGAGTATACGATTTAGCATTAAAAGCAAATGGAATGAAAATCTCATAGCTAATATAACTCCTGAAACTTATCCTGTGGTTTTCATGTTCATAGGACAACATTGTCTGACCGAAACCCATGTTGTAATTTGTTTATTGTTCTACCTTTGTCAAAATGTCGTAAAATAAACAGACGTTAAAACGTATTTGTTGTTTGATTCGGCCAGACAATGGAGTCCTATCTCATAACCGTCTAGGTTAAAACTCCAACTACTCCATTTTGACACTTATCGATAAAAAAAACTGCCTTTTGCAACCCATCAAAGCCGTCTCCATTTCCATCAATTGTCCAGAACACTAGGAGTGTACAGAAACCTACGCACTGTTATGTTTTCAAAATACGAATTCAATGCAAAATGCTAAACTGGCGGCTTACGCTTGATCGACTTGTAGTATACTTGTGCATCCTGACTACTGGCTACGATGTCTGGGATAAAAAAAACGCCTCCTGCCTAGTCCAAATTCGTTGAACAAACCCTAGCTTTCAAAATGGTAATAAACGTATCTGCGCAAGCTTCTAATAGGAAACACTATCCTCTCTTTCGGTTATAAAAACTGCATAAAAAATCTAAGCTTGTAACGTTCGAAAATTAAACTGAATGATTTCTGAAGCGATAATTTAACAAACAGTAAATGCATGTTTTTCCTTAAATCTAGTAACAGCTGGCTCAGTCCAAGCTACAGCAGAGAGTTTGCTTCTGTTCTTATCTTATACGAAAGATCCTGTTATTCCATACAATTTACACGAATCTTGTATTGCAGCGGCCTCAAACTTCCAGAACTGTCGACAGGTAAGTGCATACACATCGTCATATCTAAGCTACGAAATCTAATATCGAATGAAAGGAAATATAAACTCCATTAAAAAATGTACCTGGTTTTTCAAATTCGACTCTCACCATTGTGATCTCGGAAACGGTAAAAGTGCGAAATCGCTTAAATCTATAATCCAGCACGACTTCGCAATATTTTTAAATTCCTGCATATGCTGTTGCAATTACAAAAATTTTTGATATTTTGCAGATTATCGTGAACAAAGTCCCAGACCTGCATAGGAATGTGTTTCTGTACATCTGCATGTTCCTACAGGAATTCCTGAAATACTCCAACGACAATGGTTACGACGCCAAAACTCTTGCTTCCTTATTTGGCGACATTCTCTTGAGGGATGTTGACAGAAACGCAAAACCGCAAGCCAACAGAGGAAAGGCCAATTTTGTTTATAATTTCCTTGTGAATGACCTAAGCTCTTCTATAGTCCCGCCCAAGTAGTTTTAATTTGT